TCAAGAATGTATTGATTGATTTTGTATGTTTTCAAAAGTCAAGACAAAGTAATATTAATTTTAAATACCAAAATATTGTAAATAAGGAGATGTAACACATTATATGCAACGTTTAACAAATTAAAGCAGTTACATTAAAAAAAATAATCTTTTCTCGGAATAATTGCACATGTTTTCAATCACAATGCTTTAGTGAGTAGTTTGTGATTATAAAAATAATTTTATGTATTAATAGATTTTGCATTTTTTTAAATTAAATATTAATATCAATAAAATTAAAGAATATTCATGACTTAAAAAATATGATATTAATTATTAGTTTCAATATATTGTAAAAAAACAAATGCAATAACACTTAATAAATTAAAACCGAATTATTTAAGAAAGATATTTCACATTTTCATTTAAATCAAGCCTAACAAATATATATATATATATATATATATATGTATATATATATGTATATATATATATATACATATATATGCAAATATGTACATATTTGCTCTTTTATCACATTATATTCTAATTAAAAAGTTAAATTTTGAATATATCACGTGAAAATTCCGGGCTAGCAACAGAACATCTTTATTAACAAAAATTAAGTAATACCGTTAATTTAAAATAGTGAATACAAAAATTTGTGCAAATAAACTTATAGTTCAACTTTTATATTTCAATTAATATTTTGGAAATGAATAATCTCACTTGCAGCATACAATAAATTTAATGATACTTTTGAGTTTTTTTTTAATAAATAGATAAACAAATATAAACATAACATATGCTTTAAATATATCATTGATTTTAAAAACTGTTTGATTATGCGTGGATTTTAAAATAAACATCTTCGCATCATCAATTCTAAATAATTCTTTACAGGAATAAATTTGATCAGGTCTATAGAAAATAAATAAAAACAATACTGTATCAACATTCAAAAGTCAATATAATCGTACGATTACGAATCAGTTCGAATTGCAAATTTTTAGCATGGCTTGATCTATTATGCTGTGAACTCATTAAAAAAGCAATTAAGAAATATTTTCTTTTATCACTTTCAAAACAAATAGATAGTGTATTGTAAAGTTATGCGCTTTAATAATTTATATAATTTAATTTGCTACAATTTATCATTCACTGCAACAAAAATATTGACGAGGAAAACGAAACCTTTCTTACCTATATAAATGATAAAACACATTTATATAGCTTATAAAACGAGTTATAAAATAATTATATAGCTTATAAAGTTATAAAGATAAGTATAAGTTAATGTAATCTGAAAGCTAAGAATAGCTAAAAATATTTGTTCTAATATAATCAATTCAGCCGATCACCTTGAAACACTCGAAACAAAGGGACCATATTAGTAACATCCAATTTTTTTTTTGACTACAAATCTACATCAACAAATATTAGTAAAATATCTAAAATTTCAGATAAATCTAAAATAAGTATGTCCTTATTGCTATTGGTAAATAAGCCGCAAATTAATTGCTTTCAGTCAACCAATAAAATATGTAAATAGAAATGCTTTAAATGTAAAAAAAATGTTAATAAAAATTTGCAATTAATATTATATAATACACGTGTACATGATATTTTTATTATGTTGCTTCGCTATTTAATTAGCATTCTAATAGATAAATTATTAATAATTATCATAACAAAAGAATGAAAACAATTTCTGCAACTAAATTAATATGATGACTTTTTCAAGTAAAATATTAATGTTCTATAAAATAATGTTCTAACTTATTTCTGTTTATTTTGCTAAAAATATTAATTATTGGTATAGTAGACTAAGTACCTATTAAATAGTAGTTAATTATTGGTATAGTAAACTCTATTGAAATTATTACAATCAATACACATTTTGTCAAAATCGAATTTATAGATCGATTAAAATATGTATAATGATGGCGAGTCATATTTAAGAAAAATGGGCATTTTTTGATAAAAAATTTAACATGGGTGTCCAACCAGATTTGACATGAAAATTTTATATAAAGTCTGTTCCGGAGATGGCTTGAAAATTACATATAAATTCTGTTTATCAAAATAAAAATTATAAAAATTATCACGTACAATTTACATTGGCATTCACATTTTTGTGATGTATCCACAAAAAATTACGAATATGAATCTATTGCAAGCATATATAACTATCTCTGTGATTCTCTCTTATTACATGAGAACATTTATTTTCTCTTTTAAGATTTTAACAAAAAAAAATCTAAGACTAAAAAATTATGTAGCTTAATAATCTTTACTTTAGATTTGATTGCCTACTTCGTCTTTATGACTTTTATTGATTATCATGATTCACTTATTGTTAGTGAAAAATTGCTCACTAAGAACGTCTCACAAAATCGCGCAGAAGTTTTTACTCTATTAATAATTCATTTAATTAATTTGTTTAACTTTAAACACAAACCATAAATTAAAACAATATCTTATATTGATATTTTTTCTAAACCCTGGTATGTGTTTAACTATAATCGCGAGCAACGATTTCCAAGGTCTTTATTTGGCACACGACGTTTGTTATACAATTTTTCAATTGATATTTAATGTTTACTAATATAAACGGTCTATAGACAAATTGTGCTTAATAAAGAGTCAATTTAAATTAAGTAGAAAAATGTATCTCCATTTTTCTATATTGTTCGATTAAGAGCTATAGAAAATATAACGTAGTAAATACGTGATTAGTATTTTATTTAACATATGTAAATATGTATGAAGTCTAAAAATAATATGATAAATTTACGAAATAAAATACGCTATTTGCAGACTTCCATTATTTTTAAGAAGTTATTTTATTTAATATTACATTGCATTACCACATTTATAAATATATAAAATGCAAAATAATCATACATATATTCAATTTTGTTTCTACCTTAAATTTGAAATGTATCAAAAAAAAAAACTAAATAATATTCAAATATAATAAATAATCGTGACACATAAGATAAATATACAGTATATGGTTTTATATGCTAGCATAGTATTGATATGCGCATAAATATAGGATAAATGGCAATATTATATATTGTAAAGCCTGTTCAATAATATATTATAACGAGTCGATAATAATAATAGTCATTATGAACCGCAATGACATCCACACTTTAACCCTATTATAAGAAATATCCCGAAGCATATTCTTTAAGAAATGAAATCGAAATTGAAATATTTCATCGACATAACTGCAAGTTAGAAATAAATATCAAGAGAAAAGTAGAAAGCTTTTGTGCAGCTGTCATGATATTTCACATTGACTCATTCAAATCACATTTTTTAATATCGTAAAAAATGCTAAATGTTCATGTAGAAATAAGCTATAAATGTTTTGATCATGCTAGTTCAAAATCACTCATGCTCTTAGAATACATTATATATAACATCTCACCGTATCGTTAAATAAAGGAAATAATGATATAAAAAGTTTGAAATTAAAATCTTATGGCAAAGATGAAAAAATCTCTTTGACAAAAAAAAGTGTGGTATTAATAATAATATCACTTGCAGATTCAAGGTAAAACATCCTACTGACACATACCATAATAATATTAAGAACATGACTACAATGATATGGCATATGTATATATGTTTATATCAAACACAAAAATGCAAAAAGTTTATTCATAATACACTCACACATATCCAACTAAAATACTTCAGATAATATTTTTTTATAATAATAAATATTTTTTGGTTAGATCTATATGAATAATTTAAACAAAATTTGTCTATACGCTCTAATATAAATTAACCTAGCCTGAAAATTACATTTATACTCTCTCGATTAATGAGACATAGACATCATAGTTCATTCAAAATGTTTTATATCATAAAATTTGTACATTTGTAAAATTCAATTAGGAATTTTCCTTAAAGATTTATGGTTTCATTAAAACAATTTGCTTTAAAACTTGAAGACAAATTTATAATTATCTACAATTATTACAAACAAACTAAGACTTAAATCTTAAATCTTTTCTAAAAACAAAACATCTATGGTTGATATTTGTATGTGCAATATGTTATATTTTTAAATATGTATTAATTAAGCCTTATACAATTTCAATATGTTATAAAACATTTTGAACAAATTGTTTGCTCGTCATATGCACATCAATTTAGCACATTCCAATTTTGGTATTGGAAATACATCAACATTTTCACTCATAGCATCATGTTATAATTTCATTATTTTATCATTAAAATACATGATATTATATCCAAAACATAATCCAAATCAAGTATCGCCAGCTAAAAACACCAAAATCTGTTCATTAAACATATACCTATATGTAGCTAAACTCAGTCTTTAAAATCATATAATATATTTAATTATATAATAGAATACTATAAAAATGTATATAAAAATAATATGGATAATCGTAACTTACCTTCATAATTAATGTGAAATATAAGCAAACCGAACACAACACTATAAAACAAAATTAAAAATAAATATACAAGTGAGGTCGTATAGATATCTACTCGAGACCATTGCTTGAAAATATTTAGATTTGATCTATTATTTGAATATAATATCATCTTACTTAAATTTATATTTTATATAAAAAGCTTATGATACATTGTTTAGATCTTAGTATATTTATTATACTTTATCAAAAACCCAATAAAACTTATTATCAGTATAAAAACTTACTAGAGTATTAACCACACTGAAATTAGCTACCACTGATTTTCGAAAGCTAATATGTATTCTTGTATTAATTAAATTTTTATATGATTTTCTACTTTTTCACATCAAACATTGGCAATACAATGAACAAATGTTTCAATCACAACAGTTGGAGATTGAGTATTGTCAATAAAATTAATATTAATTTATTTACTCCTGAAAAAAATTTCAATGAATGGTAATTAAAGTATCACAGTTTATTAAAATTTATTTTCAGGTCAAAGATTAATCTCAATATATAGATATTATTGACACAATTCAATCTACAAAAGACTGTAGTGCATTTGTTCCACTTATATAAATTAAAATTCATTTCAAATTATTTCCGTCACTCAATAATTGTATACCACTTTTAGAATTTGTTCTATAAGAGTATCATTTAGTTAAAAAAAAGTTCATCACAAATCTCTTAATTTAAGAAACTTATTTTGCATGCCAATTCATTTTGCAATGCCTCCTCCAGGGCATCAAATTAAGAACCAAATTAAATCTCAGAAACCATTTTTTAGAACGTACCAATATTGTTCATTCATGTGCCATTAGAACCCGTCAGCTTGGGTAGCGGTCTTACTAAGTATAATTTCTCACCTTGTTTATTGGTATAAATAGGTGCTCTTTGGTAATGATCGACTAATTGATCAAGAGTGTGAAACTTTCTCTGACCTATGCAGTACAGTGCGCCTTCAACATGCACTCGAAAATGCTTATTACGGCCAGGAGCTTTGAGAGATACTGAGTAGTCGCCCATCTATAATCAAATTAAATTAATGAAAATTTTTGAAATAAATGAAAGAATCCTTCAATTTAGAAGAAGGTCGACAATATTTTCAGAATAAAATTACTAGCAAAATACTATATTATAAGGATCTCTCATACCAAGAGTTTTTTATATTATACTAATAATAAGCTAATTCTTAGAAACTCGAAAAAAATAATTATCAAATTAGTGGTGCATGGCATCGTGCCTTAAGGTAAATTGCTGCAACTTCCCGTACCAAAAATTAATTCTTTTATTAATTGTTATTTATTTTTTTAAGCTTTGAAAAAATAAGATTTTTGAGAGATTTTAAATTTTTGAAAAAAATTGAATTTTTAGAAAAAAATGTCTTTTATTTTGAAATATTTTGGAAAATTTGAACATATTTCAAAGCAATCGCACTGCTTTAGAGCAGCAATATCAAAGCGTGTAAGCGCCGCGCCGCTGTCTTACGGACAAACTATGTTAAAGAACCTATAGAAATGTTAACAAAATTGATATATATTATTAAAATCTCCACAAAATATCTGATAATTTGCCAAAAATTTAATCAGTTCTTCATGTCAATACAAGTAAAATGTTTTTTGAATTATTAAAATCGGACACTCCGTTCTCTTAAAAGCTGAGTTACCGTTTTTGGCTCTTTTTGCCCCGCATCTTCGAAACGGCTAGACCTGCCTGTGCCAAAAACTAATCAGCACGTCTCCTTATCAATATGAATCGAATGTTTTTTGAATAATTGAAATCGGTTAAACCGTGTTCCCGAAATCGTCGACGAAAATTTGTATCCGCGCACACAGGCACACACACACACATACATCCAGTTTTACTAAGGCATGCCAAAAAGTTCAAAAATCTCTGAAACGTGAAGATATGTAATAATTTTCATTTTCGTTTTTTTGCGATTACTATAACTTACCCTACAGGAACTAGTTGCAAATAGTATTTTGTCTTAATGCTACATGAATTTTGCAAAATGTTTAAATAATATATTTATTCAATAAGAAATCAATATATTAATTTATGAGTGATTTATAAGTATACCGAATTGCTATAGTTATTCAATATTACACATTATTATGCACGCAATGTTTTCTAAAAGCGCGGCCGATTAATTCAAATTTTACTTTATTTTCATAATTGAACTTCATTCATATTTTGATATGTTCATTAAGACCAGATACACTATCGTCATGCAAGGACTCATTAAAGTCGTCGAACAACTAACTACGAAGAAACGGCTTGGCCGATTCTTTTGCACATTTCTGCGAATTCTAAAAAAACGGCTCAATCGATCGTACCAAAAAACTCACCATTGTTATGTTCAAAAAGTTAATAAATATACAATAACTTACATTAGTTTCACTATCACGAATAAGAAAATCTCCATCATGACCATGTTGATTTAGTATTACATCACACTGATTGCGTGTAATACAACCATAATACCAGGGCTTCCCAGAAAGATGTGGCCTATCTGCAACCGGTTTACATCTATCAGTTGTACCTGGCGCATCATTATTACGTCGGTCCAGAGAATCCGTGCCTTGGCCATCAGCATGGCACCCACGATCCCTAATTAATTTATTTATAAGATTCAATCATTATATATATATATATATATATATATATATATATACATATATACATATATATATATACATATATACAGACACAGATATCCAAAACTGTGTATAAATGTTTGTTTACCTATAAGGTTGCGATAAGTAGTCTGAAAGTTCTTGTAGATAATTGCGTGGAACTAACCCTACTTGACCCATACCATTTCGTGCTTTAAACCTAAAAGAGCAATTTTGAAATTTGTAACTGTTATCTACAAAAAAAAAGGTGATTATAAAAAAAAAAGTATCTGACCATTCAGGATCTGCTGGTGGTCTATCAAGAATTTCAAGACGGTCTCCTTTTTCAAAAGACAATTCTTGATCATTATTTGAAGAAAATGAATACAATGCCACCTAAAAATAGTTGAGGGGTATAAACATGAGTGATCTATATCTGAAAAATTGATAATAGTTTATGGAATAGAAGTCTGTAACTCACAACAATATCAAGAACATTTTCAGCCATGGCATATGTATGTAAAGCTTCATCGGAATCGCCTTCTTCATTGGTATAATTTGAGGGAAACCAACCAGCTACATTTCCACTTTGGCCACGCCACCAGCCGTCATTACTTTTTTCTAAGATTAAGATACGGGTTCCTTTTGTTAATGAAAGCTCATCAGGCTGTTGAGCTTGGTAGTTGTACTTTACAACAGCAGTTCCTAAAAACATGACATATATTTTAAAAATTGCTATCATTTTTTTAATAAGTTTATTGCAGCATGCTATTTTTTTTTTAATAGATACATACCAATAGCCTCTGATGGATCAGCTGGTACTCTTCTGGCCATTGTTGGAGAGTCTACAGATCCGTGATGGTGAGAAGGTGATCCACTTGATGGTAGAGTCTTAGATCCAGTGCCTTTCTTAACTTTTTTCTTTATACTGTTGATAATAATGTGATAAAAATTAATTGGTTTTAAAACAAATTTGAGTTAATAAATTAAATAATAAGAAAACAATTTAATATATGCTTAGAACTTCAAGCATATAAAATATTAATGCTAGAATTACCTGTCAAACAGTGAAGGTTTTTCTTTTTTCACATAATTGCTTGGAACATATCCTGATTGATTTCGTGAGTTTTGAACTCTCCACCAATGTTTCGAATCGTCCAATAACAGATAACGTTCATTTTTGCGCAAATCCAGTTCTTGTGAGCCTTGCGCAGCATAGTCATATTTTGCAACAACATAGCAGACATCTTCTTGATTTGTTTTACCTTATTATTATAAATAGATAAATAACATCTCTTATAATAAATGCAATATTTAAAAATCTATAAACACATTGATCTCTCAATAACATAAATTACTGTGCTTCAATTTTAAAAAAATTAAAAAACTGATTTGCAAACATATTTTCTGGGGCTTTTCAATTTTAAAAATGAAAATCAATCAATGGTAAAACTGACTCAAAATTTATAATCAAATTATAAAGTGATCAATTTATATTTTGAATAATCAAAATTATAGCAAAATTCTGTAAGCACTACAATTGGGTATACAGATCATAACAAGTAATTTGAAAATATACTATCCGATAAAAGAAAATACAAATTGTTAAGACCCAATTAAGAACACTAAATTATAATCAAAATATATAAAAAGTATTCACAATCATATAATGTACAGGAGCAAGAGAATAGTATTTTGTAACCAAATTTTATAATAAACATTCTGTTTTATACCAGATGTTTAGGAGTTACTAGCACAAATGAAGGATCATCATAACAATTTCATTTTACCGTGTCTCATATTGGCTGCCATGTGGTGTACTGGAGGAGGTGGTCGACTTTGATTTAGTGAGTGATTTTTGTTTTGCCAAGAGGTTGTGGTTGGGTCATTACAGGCTCCCGTTCCACGCATAGACCGCGTCTCCAACATTCCTCAAAGCAAATGCTTAATATCTAGAGATAAATAAATCATAACATAAATAATAATGTAATAGTTATATAACAATTATTGTAATAATCATATAACAATTATTATAAAAATATGTTGCTGGCAAAGATAATAATCATTTTAAATTAAAAAAACGTCTGACAACAAACTATTAAATGTACAATTAAACTGATATATAATTGAAAATTGGTCAAATTACATTAACATAAGGACAACAAATACTTCATTTTCAAAATTATGTTCGACTACGCAAATGTTTAAAAACGTTAGCTATCTATGTCTATGTGTTTGTTATAAAGCATCATAGAATTATTCATAACAAAAATATTAATATTTCAAGATTGCAAATGTGTTTTAGTCCAGCAAATCACTAGTGAAATATTTGTATGTTTAAAATGCACATTTCATACATACATGTCACAAAAGTAATCACTTAGCATACCAAATGCCACTTTTATACATTATTAACTTATTCAGAACAAACCACATTAACGTTAATATTTAAAAACAATGACACTACGGACCTCACCCACTTTCTCCACATTTACAAATTCAGACAAAATTCGATTAAGAAAACTGCATTTGATAGATTAACTTGTTCTCCATGTTTTTTCTTTAGTTGACAGCGATTTCAGTGTTGCCATATTCTACATTGGTGATTTCTGTGAGAGATAGTAAACAAAGTTTGAGAAACAATAATAAATAAAGTTTATTTTAATTTTTTATTGATAAAATTTATTTATTGTCAAGTAGATTGCTTTGAGAACTCAGTAATTAGATAAATATTTATATTATCACAATATGTAGCCGCACAAAGAAATTAATTGTTTGTTGAGTTGTCTTATTCTTATTTAAATACTTTAATTATTATATACTAATAGTAATAATTCATCATTATTATTTTTAACTTTGAGAAAAAGTTGTTTGGTTAATTTTCTGTTTTTCTTGATATTTAAAGTCATTCTGAATCGTTTAGACCAGGGCTTCTTAAACTATGGGTCGCAACCCCAAAAGGGTGTTATAATTTTTGTATGTTTTCAATAAATTCTCAAACTATATATTTTTATTTGTAAATGTGTAATTAATTTATTTTTGAAGTACAACTCCTTTAGGCGCGGCCAGGGTGTAAATCTGTACAAATGCAACGGAAATTGCGTTACGCCCAAACTGTACTTCATTCGCTCTCGGTGAAATCATTTCAATACGGGTCGATTGTGATTAGTCGTCCTGTATGTGAATAGAGATCTGTCGTTGTATGCTCGATATCAACAAGGAAATCGACATAGAAAGATAAATAAACAATTTAAAACTACATCGTAGTGCAAAACTTGATGCCTGAATCAGAAGAATATTTTACCCTGTTCCTTGAACATAATACAACAAATTAAACATTTGTGCCGTGTACTAAACGTAAGTTTATTGGTTAGAAATTATTTCTATATTATCCGTAGTTTCTATAAATCCTTGAAGTCATTACAATGGAAGATATTTTTTAGGCAAGACAGATATTACAGCTTAAATGCCATCCTGCACAGTAGCAAATAAGTTTTACTTCAATCGCGTGTGAACCTTAGGCGCAAATGTGTATGGGATCATCAAGAAACTCGCAATCATAGGTGAGGTCGCATAAAAACTCGCAATCGTAAATGGGGTAGAAAAGGACAAAAGTTTAAGAAGCCCTGGTTCAGACTAAAATTGGAACAAGAATTGTTTAATGCGTGAATCACCAATATATACTATTAATTTATCTATTGCAAATGTGTATGTAATAAAAGAATAGTATATATTATTGATTAATTATTTATTGATTTTTACGTCGACGTTTTCTCAAAAACGACTGAACCGATTTCAAAAATTTAAAAGCCTGATTTGATGAAACCTGGCAGGAACTCGCGGCGTCCGCCAGAGCCGTTTCTTTATAATTGGCAGCATAGATAAAAGAAGATTATAAATATATATAGATTGGCAAATTGGTGCGAAATTTTTCGTTAACATTTTCATAAAAAATCCTGAACTGATTTTAAAAATTCAAAAACAATCTGTTATCGGCAGGAATCGTGCTCGTTAAATTTTTTGATCATATTGATATAATTCCAATTGTGTACTTTCTAAAATATATAAGTGGTTTTATTATAAAATATCATCAATTTTGACTTCATATTTCATACCAAAAATTCGTCAATGTCATTTTTGTAGAATTCTGTAATTTTATAACAAAAGAAAACGTTTTAATAATTGTCAAAATAAAAATGATGTTTTGAATTTTGTGGATTACGATTTTAGTCTTTTCTAATTTTAATTCAATTAAAATATAAAATTATTAATCCTTTTTAATATCGAATAGAAAATAATTAGAGATGGCTACAACGGAGACCAAACCCAAAACGAAAAATTCGCGTCGCTCAAAACCGGATCCGGCCATCGCTAATTGGAGACCAGCAACGATAGTTCCGCCGCGACCACAAATTTGTTCATCAAAATTTCAAGGCAAAAAGCCCTTTTATCCAAAGTTTTTGCAAGAAGATAAGAAAGCTGATCTTTATCTGTTGCTTTCCGAAGAATATCGACGTATGTGGTTTAAAGCGTTAGATGAATATTACATAATTGAGCAAGAAGAAAGTCAACCGATGCCGAACAGACCTTATTTAATTCGTAATAGAAAGCCGAAAAGAAATGCACCTGACAAGATGGAGAGGTTCATCATGAAACGCTTCCAGAATATTACAGCGAAAACCGACACGGGAGATAAACATAATAAGAAATCAATAGAAAACTTAGAAGGGCCGTCTAAATCTTTGAATAAAGGTGGTGAGATGAAAGGCGTGCATCAAGGATACTGCACCGCTCCTGTTGAGACATTTCGTCCAATTGTAACCGTTATCAATAATGTTGAAAAACAATAAATTGAGCAAATGTATTAATTATTTATTATTATACACGTTATACACACAAAATATTTCATTGGTTTTTATTTGTTTTTCTCTAACATTAGATTTATTTTGTTTTACAGATATTTGTCTTCAATAAATTATCTTCTTTTGTCGTCTGCGTCCCTTGTGAGTTTTGTGCCCTTTGGTTTTTATTTTCTTGTGATTTCAAAATTTTATCCCACGAGTTATCTACTTGAGGCGGAATATTTTGAAACTGTTTTAACTTGAATATTACATTCTTTTTATGTTCTAAATGTACTCTTCTTTTATCACACCTAAACTGAAATGGCCTCAACGGAAACGATTTGATTTCTCGTTCTTCATTAAGAACTGTATAGTATTTCTGCTCGTCCCACCATTTTCGTAAATATTCATTAGACATTAAATAATGCATATTAATGAAATCTTCGTTCAAATAGCCTGGAATAAATGGTTCTCTATTTTGAAAGGAAGAAGATATTATATTGTCCTTTCTTTTAATAGGCTTCGATGGTCTAAATGTATTTCTTCTAGGTTTATATTTAATTTGACACTTGCTGTTCATTTTTCAAACCCAGAAAACTCTTTTTTGAACCAACCCTTCATAAATTTGACCCCAAAATTATATAAAACGTCAATTACATTTTAGACTTCTAGATCGCTTTGTGTATAAAATAAATACCTAATGGAATATTTTGAGACTTTGTGATCTGTATGAAACTAGTTGTGTGTGGCATCGTGCCTTAATGCAAATTGCTGGAACTTCCGGTACCGTAACGTAATGTTCGAGGTTAATTAATTAAGTAAATGTTTTCAAATAGATTATTATAAATACTGTTTTTTGCACAATTAGCTCGGTATCTCCAAAACAGCTGGACCCGCCAAAAACTAAACACAACTTCTCCCAATCTTTACTAATTCAACGTTTTTGGAACCATTCAAATCGGATACTCCGTTCTCTCAAAACCTGGATTTCTATTTTCTGCACTTTTTGCTACGTATCTCCGTAACGGTTCAACTTGTCTTTGTCAAAAACTAATCAGCACATCTCCCTATCAATAGGAATCGAATGTTTTTTGAATCATTTAAATCGGTTGATCGGTGCGCCCGAAAACGTGGACGAAAAATTGCGGAACGCAAAACACACACACACACACATACAAACACGCATTTATTTTTTCTTAGGTATGCCAAAATGTTCAGAAACCTCTGAAACGCGTGAAGATATGTAAAAATTTTCAATTTCGATTTTTGGCCCATGGATGCATTACTATAACTCACCCTACGGAAAGTTAATAACAACTAGTGGTGCATGGCATCGTGCCATAAAGCAAATTGCTGGAACAACCCGTACCGTAATTTAAATTTTTTAAAAACTAAGAAACAAAAAATTAAATTTTTTTCGATAATTTTGATTTTTTTCGAACATTTTTAAAAGTTTTGAAAACATTTAAAGAATTTGAATATTGAAAAAATTGAAATAATGAAATTTTGTTAAAACTTAGAAACTGATTTTTTTTTATATTTTAAAAATTTTGAAATTTCTTGAAAGTTTTTGATCCCATTCATGTCGGTCTACAGTGCAATAACTGATTTTCGACCGTCAAATGGCATATTTAAAAACATTCTGTTCTGGATCTCCGAAACCGCTGGACCTGCCTTTGGAAAAAACTAATCAGCAAGTGTCTCCTTATGTAAAAGAACATAATGTTTTTGAATTATTCAAATCGGTTGATCCGTGCGCCCAAAATCGTGGACTAAATTGTATCCAATACATACACACACCCTCATCCATTTTTTCTAAGGTGTGCCAATTTATCTATGGCCAAAATGTTCAGAAACCCTGAAACGTGAAGATATAAAAAAAAAATCGTTTTATATTTTTTGCGATAACTATAACTTACCCTACGGGAAGTTAAAAGTTATTACAAAATATAAAGAAGCATATTAAAAGGACACCATCATCATTGCAGTATTCTCTTACCTATAATCAACATAAATATCTTGGTCGAACACAAATGTTTCAAATGAAAAATATTTTACGCTACTTATATAATTTAATTTATTGAATTAAACGGTTCTTGATTATAATAGGCATAGTTAGTAATAATAAAATTATAGTTGTGAGTGTTGTATTTTATAACCTATTTTGAAATGTCAAATATAGATTAACATATATAATCTATAATCTCACAATTTTTTGAAACAATTTTAGCACATGAAGCTTATATACAAAGTTTTAGTAAATTTTAGTTAAAAAATGGCTTTGATATTGGTATTTATTATCTTATTTATATGCGTTCTCTTAGCTTTCAAATTGCTGTACAGAAAGCGACCAAAATCACTAAAAAATCGTCATATTATAGTTACTGGTGGTTCTAGTGGCATTGGCAAGAGTGTAGCTTTAGAATGTGTAAATTTAGGTGCCAAAGTAACTATAGTTGCTCGAAATGAACAGAGGCTCATTAAAGCGAAAGATGAAATTCTCAGTAGTAGTAAAGCAGCTACCACAGATTCCGTTCAGTATGTATCCGTTGACTTGAGTTCGAATTATGATGAAGTTGAAATGGCAGTCAAAGTAGCAGAAAGGTCTTTTGGGCCCACTTACATGCTCGTCAATTGTGCTGGTATGGCAGTGTGTGGAAAATTAGAAGATATGACAATAGAAAATATTAAATTAATGATGGATATAAACTATTATGCAACAGTATTTCCGATTAAAGCAGTATTAACAGATATGAAATCTAGAAAAGAAGGAATAATCATAATCACTTCTTCAATGTCAGGCTTAATTGGTAATAATTATATTTTTGATATGTGAAAGTCTCTTTTTTTGATACAACTGTCTTATATAATATTTTACTATAAATTTGCTATTATGATAATCATTTATTACTACCAAATTCACCATAAACTTTATTTCTCTAGGTTTGTTTGGATATGGGGCATACAGTGCTAGTAAATTTGCTTTACGTGGATTAGCCGAATGTCTAGCAATGGAATGCCAGCAACATAATGTAAAAGTTACACTTTGTTTGCCCCCTGACACTGATACACCTGGTTTCGAAAATGAAAATCGCACAAAGCCTTTGGAAACAAAATTATTATCAGAAGCTGGAGGTTTAGTTCAACCTCATTCAGTGGCTAAGCAATTAATATCTGATGCCTTGGTAAGATATTAAAACAACAATTATTATAATAATTTCATTATCAAAAGTAATTCCAATTCTTGTAAGTTAGTTTATTGCTTTACTGGAAGTATTGATGTATTTTTTTCTGATCCTAGAACATAATGTGTTTTTAAATATTTAAAAATTCATTTTGTAAATATGCATGCACAGTTTTTTGATTATTATGTATATAATTATATATAATATTTAATGTTTTACAATTGTAATATTATATTTATTTGATATTTAGAAAGGTGAATTCTTCTCGACAATTGGAATTGAAGGTTTATTGCTTGGCATTGTATGTTCTGGAGCAGCACCAAACTTTAGTTCTATACTTTTACCGCTTCAAGTATTTTTAATGGGGCCTATTCGATTCTTCATGTGGTGCATGCACCTTCATTTTAAAGCAATAATGAATAAATGTGCAGCAAAACGTGATAGTGATAAAAAACATAGTTAAATATGGAATTAATTATAACATCTTGAATGCAACATAAACAAAACCTAATGCAAAAATACAACATAACCTAATTCTGCACTCATGTGAACTTGCATTTAGATCACAGAGAAATGTCACAACTGAATATTTTATATAAATATTGCATTTATTATAATATTATTTTTTATAGCTTTTTGAATAATTGTAATATTATAAAATAAATTAAGCTTCAAAATTATCGTTTTATTTCAATATTAATCATCATCGATTTCCAAATTCCAACTGACGGACTGTCATTGTATTACTGTCATCTTCGAAGGACATGTTATTGCTCGGCGAAGTATTTTTTTAAATCGCAAGAAAAATAAATTACGAATAATAAAATGGGTCGCCTGAACCTTCTGACAATATTTTCATTGTCTTCTAAGAATTATTCGAAATCGTGCTACGTTAGCCAACTAAGGCGTAATTTATCAACCGGTACGTTACATTTTTACAGGTTAATAATATTGCGAAATTCATGTAATTTTTTTTTTGTATTTAAGAAAATAAATTTAACATAAAAACTGAATATGATGGCAGACCGCTCTATCTTGATGCCCAAGCCACAACACCTCTGGTAAATAAGTGTGCGAAATTTTTTTTTTTCCATAGGTTTTTTATATTTATTCATTTATTATAGGATCCAAGAGTTCTTGATGCCATGCTACCATATTTGACATCATATTACGGTAATCCTCATTCGAGAACTCATGCTTATGGTTGGGAAAGTGAAGCGGCAGTAGAAAAAGCTAGAGAGCAAATTGCAACATTGATTGGTATATTCCGCATTAATTCACACTTGATACATTAAAGCTATCTTCATAAGATTAGTTAGAACGATACAGTCTTTGTGATCAAGTTTATATTTCAAATACTTCATTAATAATGTTTTTTCCTTTAGGTGCCGAACCTAAAGAAATAATATTTACTTCTGGTGCAACAGAATCTAATAATATATCAATAAAAGGTGTGGGAAGGTTCTATGGACAAAGAAAGAAACATATCATAACAACACAAACGGTTGGTTCTGTTACATTAGTTATATACAATATACACAGTTTTATAAGATTCTTTGCCAATAAAAGACCTAGATGTACTCAAAGTTGATTAATTCTAGGAACACAAATGTGTGTTAGATTCATGCAGGGCTCTTGAAGGTGAAGGTTTCAAAGTTACATACTTGCCCGTAAAAACCAATGGAATCATTAATATGGAAGATCTCGATAAAGCTATCACTCCAGAAACTTCATTAGTTTCTATAATGTCTGTCAACAATGAAATTGGGGTAATTCAACCTATAGCAGAAATTGGTGCATTATGCAAATCACGTAGAGTGTTTTTTCACACTGATGCAGCTCAAGCTGTAGGAAAAATTCCCTTGGATGTGAATAAAATGAATATAGATTTGATGTCTATTTCTGGGCATAAGATTTATGGTCCTAAAGGTATCATTTATATCATTTGCCAAAATTAACTGAACATGTACTGACTATCATTTTATTAAGGTGTTGGTGCATTATATGTTAGAAGACGGCCCAGGGTTCGAGTCGAAGCTATACAAAGTGGTGGAGGTCAAGAAAGAGGTTTAAGAAGTGGTACTGTTCCTACTCCATTAGCTGTTGGAATGGGTCAGTTTTCTTATAAACTATTGTTATAACCAGTTATTTTATTGCTTTATGTCCACATCCAGGTCAGGCCTGCGAAATAGCTTCTAGAGAAATGGACTATGATCACAAATGGATGGTTCATCTTTCCACAAGATTGATAGATAAAATATGTGGAGAATTGCCTCAAGTAAGTTGCTTACTTTATATTACTATAAAATTTTTATTTCCAAAGTTCAGCAAGTTAAAACTATTTGAAATTGGTGTAGGTGATAAGGAATGGTGATCCAGATCAATCTTACCCTGGCTGCGTAAATTTATCTTTTGCATATGTAGAAGGAGAGAGTTTATTAATGGCATTAAAAGACATTGCTTTGTCGAGTGGTTCTGCTTGCACATCAGCATCTTTAGAGCCTTCTTATGTGCTTAGAGCCATTGGAACAGAAGAAGATTTGGCACACAGTTCCATAAGGTAAAATTTGTAACTTTACAAAAGAATCAATTTTATCTTTTTATGTAAAGTAATACATATTTGCAGATTATAGCATATATTGCATTATATAACATATATAACTAATATTTTTCAGATTTGGTATCGGTCGATTTACAACCATAGAAGAAATTGATTATACAGCTGATAAATGCATTAAACATGTACAAAGATTGCGCGAAATGAGTCCACTATGGGAGATGGTTCAAGAAGGAATTGATTTAAAAAACATCCAGTGGTCACAGCATTAATTATTTTTTGGAAAGATATTTCATATTTGAATGAAGTAGTACTGTTATATAATGCACATTATGTTATGTACAATAGCACTCATTTGACCTTTTTGTTTCAATGTGCAAATCTTCAAATTAATGTGGTATATTAATGGTGGCATATGTATAAATAGAATATTATGAATATTAAACTTAGTGTATATATTATATTACAGATTGAATATAATGTTGTATCTAAAAATAAAAATTAATTCATCACGGTATCAGCAGTTCATTCTTATATATCACCATATGTGTTAAATGTGTCACATTTTATATGTGATGAAAATATTAAAAGAATCAATAAAGCTTGATTAGGAATTTACATTCACCAGTTACAAAAATTCCTTTCTTCAAAATGATTGTTTCATTCAGACACGGTTATCACAAAATTGTCAAGTTATATTGTTGTGTATATATATATATATATATATATATATATATTAGGGTGGTCCTTAAAATGGTCATTTTCGAATTTTCTTGCTCCCAGGGGCTCAAATGGTTCCAAATTGATAAAAAACAATTCTCTCAAAATTTTAGCTCTTAATATTAACGTTTAGATAGAGCGCAATTCATTCAAAGTTTTGTATGGAAATGGCATGGAAAAATTTTCAAAAATTTTAAAAATGTTTTTTAAATGTAATTTAGCGAACAAATGAATGAATAAAACTCATTCATTTGTCGCTAAGTTATACCTAAAACATTTTTTTTTAATTTTCAAAAATTTTTCCATACTCTTTCCATACAAACTTTGATTGAATTGCGCTCTATCTAAACGTTAATATTAAGAGCTAAAACTTTCAGAGAATTGTTTTTTATCAATTTGGAACCATTTGAGCCCCTGGGAGCAAGGAAATTCGAAAATGACCATTTTAAGGACCACCCTAATATATATATATATATGTTCAAACCACTTGAATAAAATAAATAAAACAAAATTAAGTCATAAAACATTGAATAATAATAAGCGTAATTATCAATGGAAGTCATATTACAAATGTAAATATTTTGGCAAATTAGTTAATCAAATGTTTAACCTAAACTAACAATAACAGGACGGATCAGCAGATTCTTCTGAAGGTATTATTTTAAAACCGTGTTGCTCTAATCGCTGTAATTCAATTCGTGACTTATTACTTTCAAGAAGATGTGTTGATATATCCAAAAACATTTCTTCAACACCAGCTCCCGTTTTACAAGAGGTTTTGTATGTGGCACTTATTAAATTATGGCATTGCTCACTAAAATTATCAGCACATTATTATATAAAACATATGATGTATAAAATGAAATCTTGCACTCATCTATAGCACTTCAAATAAAGCATCTTTATTTTTATACTATATGCAAGATTCTCATTTATTTCTACTACACACCAAAAATTTTCCATGTCTTCATCTGATACTTGTGGATTAGCTCCCTCTAAATCGGACTTGTTACCACATAGAAATATTTTTGCATTTTCTGCATACGTAACAATGTCCAACAAATGTTGTGACAAGCAATGGAATGATGTTGCATTATCTAAAGAAAAGACAAGTATGGCAGCTTCAGCAAATTTATAATAACTTGATGTAATAGAAGCAATTCGTTCCATTCCACCTGTATCCCAAAGCTGTAGCTAATATTCGAAAGAAAAAAGGCATTTTTAATATGAGCTTGTAATTTGAATCTTTGTTAATGTTTTACATACTCTAATATCATTGTTTTTCACAGTGTAGATTTTGTCAAAATGGTCTAATCCTAGAGTTGATTTTCTATCTGTTGCAGTAACAAAAGTATTATTTGTAAATCTTCTAAATATTGAACTCTTTCCTACGCCATATTCTCCACAAAGTATCACTTTTTGTCCTGGAACTTTTGTTGAAGCCATTTTCACTTTTTTATATTAAAAAAAACATCAAAAATGTAATGATATATCTTATTTTAATAATAAATCAATTAAATTTATTATTTCAATATTATAATATTTTATTTAGGTCTTCAGTATTTTGTTCAAATTGTTTTGACAGATTTTTGACGTTTCGTATTACTTGACAGATCTGTAACCACAAATATAAATAATGTCACTTTTGGTCACATTTAAAAGATTATTGCATTTAATTAAATAATTTTATTAAATTATCTTGCATTTAATGATGAAAGTTTAAAATGGAATTTAATTATTAAAATATTACACATATTAAAAATGTTTTAAACGAATTTAAAATACTATAAAAATTGAATGCTAGTAAAAGAATGTGTGCATTTTATTGTGCAACTTTGTTATCTGTCAAATTGACAGTAATGACATTTAACAGTTTAACATTTATAATAAATTGATATATTAAATATATTTATTAGTTTTTCAATATATAAATTATAAGTACTTTATATTAACTATTTTTAAGTATATTGTTTTATTATTTAAATAATGTATACGTGTAATATGGGTTTTTCATATAAAGAATATTCGCAAACCGGTTGAATAAAATGTTTTATTATATATCATAATAGAGTATTTGCTATATAAATATAATGGACAATTTAAAAGCGCCGTCTTTGCCATCCCTTTTGGATTCGGATAGAGGCTCTTGTGATAGCCTCATAGACTCATCACAATTTGATTTTGAAGAAGTATGTATGATATATTGAAGATATAAATATATATAATTTTTATCCTAATATGTATTTATTCAATTATTGAAACTTTCAGCTTGATGATGCTGAATATTCATTGCCACCAATAGACATCTTGCCGAGTCTTGAAAGTGTTCTAAGTGAACTAAACTGTGAAGAAAATGATAGTGTTGCAAATACGAGAGTAAATTCTTCAGTCAACTCTATAGATTTTCAACAAAATTTTAATCAACATGAGATTTCAGTTAGTTCTGGTTATAACACCGGCTCAGTTTTGCGTCATGTTTTTTTTCATGGCATTAGTTCCCAGATTCAATCGGCTAGTGTAAGTGTAGTATTATATGTTGATGAATGCAAAAATAATGCTTTGTAAATTGTTTATTATTTTAGGAGCGCATAAAAGCTGGCTTGGCTTCTGTAATATCAGTTCATGAAATGATTGCTGTAGGGACTACTCATGGCCATGTTTTATGTTTTGATGCTGCTCAAACATTACGATGGTGTTGCACTGATCATTTATCACATGGTGCTGTATCTGCACTTGCATTTAATAATGAATGCTCCAGGCTTCTTGTTGGTAATTATGAATAATTTTGTATACAAGTTGTTATTTGACTTGATTTGAATAGTTTATTTATAAACAATTATTTATTTTATATCAACTTCATAATTATTTGTATTAAACCATAAATCCATTTATTACTAAAGTGAATTTTCAGGATATGCACGAGGGCATACAGTTATGCTGAATATCTCTACTGGTGACACATTACGTTCAGTTGCTGAATGCCATACACCAAATTCAGCTGTTTTGGCTTTGCGTTGGATATCATCTGCCAAAGCTTTATGCTTGGATTCGGGTGGATCTGTATGGTCCTTAAGTTTTACTAGAAGACTTGGAGTTAGAGGTTGTGAAAGTAAATGTCTTTTTAGTGGAGCTAGAGGAGAGGTACTTGACCTTAACAAAATAAATAAAAACGTGTTATGTGCGTTTGTAATTACAAATATAATTATTATATTATCAGGTGTGTACTCTGGAGCCTTTATTATTAGAAGAAGAGCACTCGTTGAGATCTTACAATATAACTGCTTTTGCAACAATGTCAAAAGTAATTTGTGTGAACTTATTGTATATTAAAATGAAGTACTTCAAAATAATATGGTAATAATTTTCAGATTATTATAGTCACACTAAAACCACGTTTGCGCGTTATTTGGACACAACCACTTCCAGGCAATCCTCAATATCTTCCATTGCTTGCTTGGCAACTTGTAGTCATTCAGTCTATTGATTCTAAGAATAGAGATCCTGTACTTGCCTATGCAAGAGGAACAGAACTGTTTTTCAACCAGGTCTGTTTTATCTTTTTAATGTAGGTATTGTTTTCATAATTCACTTTTAATTAGCTATTGATGATTTTAGATATCTGTTAACTCAGGTCGTTTGCGTTGCACTATGCTAACTCGAGTAGCATTGTCATGTGCATTATTAGCACTACACTGGTTAGGCCCAAAATCAATTGCATGTATAGATGCAAGAGAAACTTTACGACTCTTGGATGTGCGTAATACTACTGAACAGGAAACTATTGAATTAGGAAATATTGGGCTAGTTTACGGCTCTGCTTTTTATAAGGTACATTATTACACTCATATTATCAAAAATAAATGAAGCAATTTGTATGCTTAAAATAATGGTGTGCAAATAATTATATGCAAGTAATAATTTTGTATAAACACTGCACTATTATTTGGTAAAAGTTTGTAAAATTTTATTTTGCAAACTTTACAAGTTTATTTTTACTTAGTCTAATTAGTTTATTTCATTCTTTTAAGGGTCTAGCCACAGGCGGAAATGTTTCACCAGCTTTGGCTTTGGCTGGTACTCATGCATGTTATAATTCTATGGCTTCAAAAGGATCTCAATTACTTATTTTGGGTCATAAAGGGGTGCATGGGATAACAGTGAGGTACTTTTATTTTATGTACTTATTATATTTAATTAATATAAATTTAATAAATGAGATGAGACTATTCTTTTCTCTACAGTATGTGTTTCATAAGATATTTTAAATTCATAATTTTAATTATTACTTATCACGAAACATTTCATGAATATTTAATTAGGATAATATATATGATTTTCAGTATCCATAAATAACTAATTTTAAAATTGGAAATTATAGTATTTTATCAAGTGATGGTATTATTTTTAATGTATATACTACTATACTATAATAATTTATTTTAAGTAATAATGTATTTTATAAAGTCAAAAATCATAAATTATTTTCTAAGAATTTCTCCACTAGTCATAAAATTTAAGTTTTTACATATATTCCAATTATTAGTTGAAAAAATGTAATAGGTCCTGGACAGAACGTTTGTCATACCTAACAAATACAGATAGATGGTCTGAAGCATTTGCTTTGATAGTAGAAGGATATCTAGCAGCTTGCGATAGACCAAGAAGACAAGAAATGATTAAGGATAAAGCTACACAACTAATTCAAGATTATTTATCAAAAACCCAAACTTCACCAGATATTGCATTGGTGGATATGTTCAAATGTTGCATGGAGTTGAAAGAAGAGTAATTATTTTTGGGTATTGTATGTGAAATTTTACATTATATGATACATTTTTTTATTTTTAGATCATATTTGTGGGGTGATTTATGGAACAGATGTGAGGAATCTCCACAGTCATTTATAGAAGCAATGGTTCCTTACATTTTAGATGGAATGTTAAATTATGTTGCTCCTTATGTTACACAAGCATTGGTAGATTACTTTTGTGAAAAAAATATTACAATGCTTCAAAATATTATTTTAAAATTGGATGTTACTTGTCTAGATTTGCACCAGGTATGATAAATGATATCTATTCATTTTGCTTTGGCATTATGCTAAGAACTATAAATGAAAAATTAATTTTCACATTTTATCAATTTTCATGTTGATGGATTTGTCTCATAACAATGTTTATAAATTTATATATTCAGAAATATAATATACAAGAAATGAATTTTTTTTAGGTTTTAGGTATATGTAGAAAGCATCAATTATTCTCTGCATTTATTTATGTAACAACTCAGGCATTGCAAGATTACACATTGCCGATAACTGAATTAATTCCTATTCTTAATAATTTCTGTGATAATTGTGATCATGTACAAAAAACATTACAACCTCAAAGTATTAGCAATACCACAAATTTATCACATGCAGATACAGTTTGTGATACACACGATGAAAGTGCAATAAATAGTTTTTATAATAATGAATGCCAAAATTGCGCAAAGACTAGAGAATTAGGTGATATTTTGCTAGTGTATATATCTGCTTGTCTAATGGGTAAAAAGTTTCCTTATGGTGATTTAAATGAAACTGAAGGGGATAGAGTGAAGAAGGAGGTAATGTTCAAATACATTTAACAAATACTTTTTTATATTGTAATACTTGTTTTAATTTTTTTGTAGGTATTAAATATTCTAATAGCAACACATTCATCAGCTTCTTTAAATGGTGAATTGCCCTATCCTTACTTGAGATCGTTATTACAATATAATCCAAGAGAAGCATTAAATATAATTAGCATGGCTTTTCAAGAACCACATTTTCATGGGGATCTTGGTCAAGCACAACGCTTACGAGTTATAAAGGTTTTAGCTGATATAATGGATCCAGTTGATAATAATGTAATTATGTCCTTACTTTTAGTTCTCACTACACCAGATTATTATGTTTATGATTTTGTTGATAGAGTTGATAGTCTACTAACCAATAAAACCTCAAAAAATAGAGGCACATGAGAACCTTAGCCACTTGTACAATAATAACCATTACTAAATTGACGTAGTACCCAGTTCTTTAATACCATATATCAAATAATTGATTTTTGATATATTTTTTCAGAATGAAGCAATTGGATGTCTTTTAAATTTCATGGCATTACAAATATGTAATCGAGTCATTCCTTCAAATGGTAATCTCTTTCAAAAGGTAATTGATTACATCATGTCTCCATTAACCAGCTTAATGTCACATAGACAAGATTTGGAAAGACAACAGATGTGGATAGAACTGAGAAATTTTGGATTCTTGACACATATTCCTCTTTCAAAACAAATTGAAATTGCACGGCAGGCCCATTGTTATCGTGTCTTAGAGCATTTGCTAGAAGTTGATGAAAGTTATAGTGATATATTACGTTGCTATTTGGATGATAAGCAGAGACAGAAACAGGCATTTCAATATATTGAAAAATATGCTAAAGAACCAGAAAGAGATGTTTTTAAACAAATAGAGTTTAACATTGAGCGTTTGTTAGCATTAAATAGTGAACTAACTGCCAAAATAGTTGCAGAATTTTTCATAGACTCTGTAGATAGTTTAACTGATAAAATACTAAACGAAGATCATAAGTATTTATTTTTAAAAGGGTTACTGATGTGCAATGTCCAACTAAGTTCAGAAAAGTCTGAATTATATTTAGACATATTATGTAAAAAAAATGATAGTTCTGTAATAGAGTATTTGAAAAGTTCTGTGAATATTCGTGATGATATTGCCATTGATATTGTTAAAAGGCATGGTGATAGTTATGCTTTAGTACATTTATTAGAGAAACGAGGTGATTATATTTCAGCATTTAATATACTATTTGACTTATTTAACAAAGCTGTATCCAATGATGAAAATGTTGAACAGTTAGCTGATGATATCTCAAACCTATGTACTAGAAGTGCAAACATTCTATCTCAGTCCAAGCAAGAAAGTTTGTGGTTCCCGTTTCTAGAATTAGCTTTAAGTAATAAAAGTCTTAGAGGAATCACTAGAGAATTATTACACTTAGCTAGTGCTCATGTACGACTTTCCGCACTGGTACATCTCATTGTGAAGTCGGAAGTGGGTGGTAAATTTGGTGATATAAAACAAATTCTGGCAGGAATGTTGATAAACTCTAGGTATGAGACTGTTTTATTAGAAACTACATCAAGTATATTGAATAGTGATCTACATCACATTCTTGCAAAGGATTTATTTAAATCTCATCATGCATTATCTGTTCGATCATGTGTTTGTTTTATATGTAATAAAAATTTATGTGCAGAAGTGGAAACTATGGTTTATGGCTGTGGACATTGTTTTCATGTGAAATGTAAAAGTTCAGATATCTGTGCAGCGTGTGGTTTTAAATATTCTGTGACTAGTGAAATACAAAATTATAGTTATAAGAAGAATTACTGTGTAGATGAATTTGATTCTCTAAAATTGTCAACTACTTATAGACCTGACCTAGAAGGTCTTTTCTAATAAATTGTATAATACCAAATTACCTATAAAATATATATTGATTTATTGTATATTTTAATTTATAAAGTATTATTTAAATAATACATATGATGTATAATAAATTTATTTAATATAGTCATTACTGTTAGTTTAAGTGTTTTACAGAATATTCTTTAAATAATTTTTCTTGTCCTTTTCTGTTCTTTTAATTCAGATCCGTTGGATTTGTATATTAGTAATTTAGTATGTTTTTTCGGCGTTCATCTATATTTACCATTTATTAGGAAATTCAATTTTTTTAGCTATTTTCTCCAGCTTACAAAAAAAAATTCTTCACAACAACGAGAGAATAGTGAAAATTTTAACTGTTGTTGAATTAGACTATTGGAAATAAAGCATACGATAATCGAATAACTGGGACTACTTCCTAAGATGTTTATTTAATTTCTAAATGAAGAAGGCTCACTTTATTCGACTTTTAAAGGCTACGTATACTTAAATATAATCTATTGTATATTTTACACCATACATTTATGAAAATAACATGTAGAAAAAATAAAAATATTCAAAACAGCCTAATTGTTATGCAAGTAGAACAACGTCTGTGAGCCGTTTTTGCTGTACAATAATTATGGAATGTAGTATGATTATTTTTGATCATTTTATTAATAGATAAAAATAATTGAGGGAATTCTAGGTGCTGAACCTAAAATTGTTTTTTAACTTCCCGTAGGGTAAGTTATTGTAATGGGCCGAAAATCGGAATTGAAAATTTTTACATTTCTCGACGTTTTGAAAGTTTCTGAACATTTTGGCATACCTCAGAAAAAATGGATGTGTGTGTGTGTGTCTATGTATGTATGTATGAATACAAATTTCCAGTCACGTTTCCGGGAGAACGGATCAACCGATTTGAATGGTTCAAAAAGCATTCGATTCCTATCGATAGGGAAAAGAGCTGATTAGTTTTTGGCAAAGGCAGGTCCAGCCGTTTCGAGGATACGGAGCAAAGAGTGCAGAAAATAGAAATCGACTTTTTGAGAGAACGGAGTATCCGATTTGAATGATCTAAAAAACATTCAATTAGTAATGATTGGGAGAAGTGTTTATTAGTTTTTGGCAAAGGCAGGCCCAGCCATTTCGAAGATACGGAGCTAAATATGTAAAAAATGGCAGTTTTTGAGATAACTAAGCGTCCGATTTGAATGATTCAAAGAACTTTCTGCTTGTCTTAACAAAATAATTGATTTTGGAAAAAAAAATTTTGTTCCAATTTTTTTTTTTTTAATTTTTTGTAAATCGAAAATAATTCAGATTTTATTTTTAATTCTGACTATAATTCTAATATACTTTAAACAAATAATTTCAACTTTGCAATTCAGTTTATATAATTCTTTTAAATATTAGACAATGTTACAATATTAATAATAATCTATTTGAAAACATTCAGTATTCCTCGAACATTTCGTTACGGTACGGGAAGTCACCCACCCCACTAGTTTTATTATATATTAAAAAGCATACTAATAGTATGCTAATAGTTTTAGTCACGTTTTAGTTGTTTTCTTCTTTTATCTCTGGTTGGTTTGATAACAACTAGCGCCACAAGTGAATTATTCAGTAACCAATTCTTTACGTTTGAAAACGAATCTATGGTTTTCACGATGCGTCAAAACTTCTGAGCCAAACACGTGCACAATAAAGTTTTGTGAGCTTTCAAAGTTTTTGCACAAATATTTATTTTTTAAATATATATTGTGTTTATATGTTAAGACATTTGTTAAATATATTGACTGTTATTATCAAGCTTAATTTTTGTCTATTTGAATAGTTTTATATTATTTTTAATTGTTATTTAAACTAATTATGTCTTCTGATGATGGTAATTTTAAATAAATACTAAAATATTATGAAATATTTAATTTTGAATTATTGAAATAATAAATATGTGTTAAAATATTATTACAGAAATACCTCATTTAAGTGAGGAAGATGACTCAGATTGGGATGAAATTGAAGAAGATATTAATGTTAAATGTTTGTTTTGTGATAATGTGTTGTTAAATTTAGATGAAGCAGTAGAACATCTGAATTCAAAACATGAATTTGATTTATATCATCTTAAAAAGAAACATAACATGGATTGTTATTCCTATATAAAGGTATAACATATTAGAATTTAATTATCTTATAGTTGCATTTAGAGATGAATCCAATGTAGTTTGAATTTAGTTTCGGAGTTTATATTTTATACAATTATATATTTTTCACGTACTACTTTTATGAACAATTGCATTCACACTTTCTTCGGCATTACAAAATTTAAATTACATGTTATTTATTTTATTTAATATTAAAAATAACAATTAATCGTTTTAAAATCATTTAAAGTAATTGTAAATACATAAAGAATGTATAAATAGATAAGATTACTTTGTGAAGTTGTTTCTTTTCCAAAATTCAGATGATTAACTATATTCAAAAAGAAAAACCTTCACCCGTTGCTCTGATGTCATCTGAAATTCCTCTGTGGTGTGAGGATCAATATTTGAAACCTACAGTAGAAGATGATCCATGGATAATGTTTGGTATCTTCTTTAATAAAACTTAATTTTTAATTAACACATTTTTTTGAAAATGTATAAATTTGTTACTTTAATTTCAGACTTCGAATATCTTGTGAATAAAAAACAGAATGAAGTTGAATCCAAAAATGTTGATAATACATCGGTTATTGAAATACCAGTAGCACAATTTACAGAAATGAAAAACATTATGAATCAAATGAAACAAGAAGTAATCATAAATACATTATTAATGATAATGTGTAAAATTATGTCTTTATCGTTTTATCTTTTTATAGCTTGAAGAAAAGGATAATTACATCACTATGATTTTAAATGATATGGAGAAAATGAAAAGTATAACTAACAACTTCATTGAAAATCTTAATGCAAATGAAGAAGGTATATATATATATATATATATATATATATATATATATATATATATATGCAACAAAATTTGCTAGTTATAAGCAACAAATTTACTAATTATAACAGAAATATAACATTTTTTAGGTGACTTACGTCCTATAAATAGTGTTGGAGGCCTAGATATTGAGCATGATGAGGGTTATTTTAATAGCTATGCCCATTATGGAATTCATTATGAAATGCTTTCGGTAAAGATAATTTTCTTAATATAAGAAATTAGAAAATGCAATTACAACCAAATTAAGTCAAAAACATTTTGCTAAATGTTATATCAAAACATGAAGTGTTTTCATTAAATATTGTTTTTTGCTAAGACAATTCAAAATATAATGAACAATTTTTAGGATAAAGTAAGGACTGAATCTTATCGAAATGCTATTTTAAAAAATTCAAACACATTCAAAGATAAAGAGGTATTAGATCTTGGTTGTGGAACAGGAATTCTCTCAATGTTTTCTGCTCAAGCAGGCGCCAAGCATGTGACGGGAATAGATATGTCTGATATCATATACAATGCAATGGATATTGTGCGGTATAATTATGAGAAAATAGTTTATCTTTAAAGAAAAAAAAACTACTACTTTCACAATTCATTTTGTTGTAGAGAAAATGGTTTTGGAAGTGTAATAACATTACTTAAAAATCGATTAGAAGATATTGAATTTCCAATACAAAAATTTGATATAATTGTATCAGAATGGATGGGATATTTTCTTTTATTTGAAGGCATGCTAGACAGTGTTATATATGCTAGAGATAATTATTTAAAACCTGGTGGAATAATACTTCCGAATAGATGCAATATTAGTATTGTTGGAAGTGGAGATATAGGTAATAATTATTTTATACAAATATGTATAATAAATTTCTCAGTTATATGCATGAATTTATTTTAGAGGACCATAATAGTTATGTGAATTTTTGGAAAGATGTTTATGGCTTTAAAATGTCTTGCATGAAAACTAACATGCTGAAAGAAACTAGTGTAGAAATAGCCAGAAAGGAGCATTTGATTACTGATCCTTGCATCATAGTTGATATTGATATCAATAATTGCACAACAGAATGTGTCAACTTCACATATGATTTTTCATTAACCTGCAAGAAGGATGGTTATTTGACCAGTTTAATTGGTTATTTCGATACATTTTTTGAATTAGAAGTTCCAGTAGAATTTTCAACAGGACCTTATACTGAACCTACGCATTGGAAACAAACTATATTTTATTTAAAGAATCCTATAGAAGTTAAAGCAGGTATTGATTAATTCAAATTTAATTTTTACTCTGATATATTTTGAAATATTATTATTCTTCAACTTTACATAATCTACAATTTCAGATCAATTGGTCACTGGAACATTTTCATGTAAAAGAGATACTAAAAATGTGCGTGGTTTGCTAATTCATATAAAAATATTCAATGAGAGTTATGAATACAGGATGTGATTGTTGTTACAAATATATTTTGATACTTTACAATAAAATATAAATATTATCATACAAAGTTTTTCAAATTATTTGATATTGTCAAATTTAAAGCAACTAATTTGAAAAAATAGTTGTCTTATTATTTTTTTTACATTAATAATAATATAACGTAAACACATTAAAATGGCACTATTATTACCACATATAACTTCTTAATACTATTCAATATTTTAGAAGATTGAAATGTTTAGTGATGATAAATGGTCCGATATTTTTAAGTATCGCAGAACTATTGCTTAATCGTATTTAAAATATATATATATTTATTTATCCATTTTTAAAAATAATTTCGTATTTCTTTTGAATTATAATAACCTAATATTTTAAAATTTTATAAATACTGAGATGTAATTAATCAGTTATTTTTTACATTATTATTAGCTTATATTAAATATATTCTTATTTAAACTTTATACATATGATGTATATTGCAAGTTATTTATTTTATTTACAATACTAAAGAGAATTAATAATTTCTATGATCTCATTAACAGTCCCGTAGTTGAATCAATTTTTCCTATATGGCTTTTAGAATCAAATGTCATTGAACTCCAAGACACAGATTTACATGATGAAATTTTAGAATTTGAGCATTTTAGATTTTTTAGTTTTTCATTTTTGCCAATGATTACGCATTGTCTTAACACTTTATAAAAACTTGAAACTAAACTGTCTATCCAATCTCTTAAATCAACTTTAAGTTTTATTGAATTTTTAACTGCTATTGCACTTAAATTTTGAACGCTTTCTTGTGATGGAAGATAAGATTTATACTCATTTAATGTTTGTTCTGACTTAGAATAATGACTATTACCAACGTGAATAAATTTTAAATGTTCTTCAGTGATTTCTTTGCCTAAATAAGTTTCTAAGGGAGTAACAAAAAAACTAGTTTTGGCAATAAGTTTCCTACTGTGTATGACTTTTACTGTCCACACACCTGGTAAATGTGGCCCTTTTAAACTCGGCTTAACAAAATGAATAGATCTTACTACATCTATGTAGCCATCACAAATATCAGCTACATTACCTGAAGGGTCAACAAATACTAAAGTTATATTATTATTTTGGAAAGCTTCAGAATCAGGCAAATATTCATATATAGCAACAATATCAGAAAATGGACCAATAATTTTTCCAAAGTTGCGTGATACTTGTTCTTTTTGATCATAGTCTGAACTAACATAAATATTTAAAAAATGTTTGTTCAAGTGAGAGTTATTATCAATTTGCGTCTGATTCTGAAAAGCTACCAGCATTTCAAATTTAAACTTTCCATATAACTGTGTATGAATCTCATATTGAACAATATTTCCTATATATTTGTCATGATTATGGTAACTTAGTACTTCTAAAATTTTAATTAATAATATATCACAATTAATATTGTTTGAGTTAATTCTCACAAGACTTTTAGAAACAGTCATCAAGGCATCTTCAACAGAAGGACTTACATCAGCATAGTGATAAATACTTTGCCAGTAACTGTGTAAGTTTACAGAAAAATCATCTTTACCAAATAGCCATTCTTCTAATTTCAATATTATCTTTTGATCTATGATTGGCTCAAATTTTCTTGCAAAAAATAGTTGCCTTATCTCAGTAGCTTGCAATCGCGGCCAGTCATCTAATTTGAAATCATTTGGACTACATCCACACCAATCAACAACATGCTTATATTGGCATTTACAACCCAATCTTCGTTTCCAATTAGTTACATGCAGATTATTATCTACATAAGTCTTACAAAATTTGGAGTTGCGTAAAACTGTATGGAAAAATGATTCAGCAGGTAATAAAGTATGCCTAAAAACAGTCATTAGGCCCTTGACAAGGGCATCTTGTTCTTGTGTGATATATTTCACAAACTCTCTAGTCAGAGTTATCCAATCACTACCGCCATCAATTTGAATACCCCATGGCAAGGTTCTATCACCTGTTCTCCACATATGCGTATCACATTCAATGAAAGTTTTGTCTAAGCCTTGCTTCTGAATAAATCTTTGTACTTCTCGCCCATGTGATTTCACAAAGTTTTTATTTTTATTTGCTGTTAAGAATTGCACAAGTCTTTCATTTGATTTAATTGGAAAATCACTTTCACTTAAATTTATAATAAAATCCCACTTCCAATCAGATTTTAACAGTTCATTCATAGAAGCTAGCAACATTTGGAGTAAAGATGCACCTCCCCAAATAGTAGAAAAACGATTGCGAGAAAGACGTATATTTGGAAAGTTATTTTCTAATTGCAAAAGTTGACGAAACATGTAATCTTGGCGCTGTAATAATATCATTTATGTACTATACAATTACCATTATAGATATTTATTTAATTCCTGCTATACTTACAGAGTCTACGTGAATATAAAAATAATGATCTACATGAAATAGAGCTTTAATTAATCTGTAAACTTGACGTACTGCTCGTCCATTTAAAGTCAGCAAATATACAATGCGTACTTTAGGTTCTGTATCATTTGTTGTTAAAGTTACTGCAGTTTGAGGTGAGAATTCTAAAATTAAATATATTTTTGAATTAAATTTCTGACTTCAATCCTCAATAATAAAGTTTCTTACTTGAAATTCCTGTTTCATATATATTCATTTTAAAAAAGCCACCACAAATTTCTTTGGGATCTCCAGGACATTTCATATTGCAAGAGGAGTCAGGTTTTTTCAAAGCTGATGATGGTGCATTAATTCCACAAAAACACTCCGTTCTTTAATAAAATATTTCATAGATTTTTCAATTGTATTTGTTAATTTAGAATTAGAATACTTACGAATATTGAACTCCAGCGTAAGGAAAACCTGATTGCAAACACATTTGTGAACAATATTTAGGAGAATTAGTAAGTTTGTAATTTGCATAATATCCTGAAAGCATTCTGAAATTCTTTTCATCCTTAAAACACCCTAAAGGTTTATTAGAGGTAAATCCATTATTTGGGCAATAATTTGGTAAATGTTGTGGATAAAATGTTTTTGCTTGAATTGCACATGTAATATTTGCTATAAATTTTTTGCATTTGTGAGTTTTTGCTCTGTGTATAGCCGATATAGCCTCCCGTGACTGTATATCGCATAATGCCAAGTATTCCATGTCATCTTGTAAAATAGTTTTACTTATATTTACTTTATTATAATCATTTCTCTGTTTGAACAATACATTATTATTAGAATTGCTCTGAATATCTTCATCATCAATTAAAGCGTTTGCTCTTCTTTCACCATATTCTTGTATTTTTGCATTTTGAGTATTTGGAGGTTCAGTGTTTGATTTAGAATAAGGTAATATTGCTAATGATTTATAAGCTAAGTATATTTGTATCACTAAAATGATTAGCCCTATTAGAAAATAGGACCGATATCTTCCAAACCAACGCCCTGAGCAGTGCCTGATTGTTGCCATTTCCAACTGATTTGAATTTTAAGGAACATTTGATTTGAAAAAATCTTATTTCAACCAAATAAAAATAATTTAAGCTTCAAATATTCATATGCACTCCAAATATTTTACACCGCTTTTATGACAACAAACTACCTCGAAAGGTATTTTTGGACATTTATTTCGACTTAAATTATACATGGCACCCGTTCGTCACTCATTAAACAAATTCAATATTTCCATTATTCATTTAAATTATCTAGGTTAAGAATGTTTGACAGGCTTTATGTACTTGACATATATGGCATGCATTGCATGCATGTCCATAGAGCAGGATTATACAATAGATAAGAATAGTACCAGGAAATCAGGAAGGGTTTTATATAAAACCGTTTTATTCAAAGAAGTTTAAACTGTTCAAGAAGTTACCAGCAAAAAAGCGGAAATTAGTCTCTAGCGTCTCTAATCTAATCTCTAAATTCAATTAATACATTTTAACTATTGGGGTGCATGGCATCGTGGCTTTAGGCAAATTGCTGGAACTTCTCGTACCGTAATTAAAAATCTTGGTACAAAACCCAAAAAAATTTGCACGAAATGTGTACACTTTATTAAAATCTATAAAATATCTGATAATTTGATGTACATAAGTCTAGCAAACATTTTTGACCGCCAAATGACATTTTTTTAACTTTATTTTTATTGAGAGTTCATAACTGCTGCACATGCCTTCCCAAAAATTTAATCAGTTTTTCATCTTGTCAATACAAGTAAAATGTTTTTTCGGGTACTCCGTCTCTCAAAAACTGAATTACCGTTTTTGGCTTTTTTTGCCCCGTATCTTCGGGGGCAAAAAAACTTCGCCAAAAACTAATCAGCACGTCTCCTTATCAATACGAATCGAATGGTTTTTGAACTATTTAAATCGGTTGATCCATAGATAAAAGAAGAGTATTGAAGAGGGTTGATCGGTGTTCCCGAAATCGTTCGAGAAAATTTGTATGCGCACACACACACACACATACATCCATTTTTTCTAATGGTATGCCAAAATGTTCAAAAACCTTTGAAACGTAAAGATATAAAAAAAAAATCGAAGAAGAAGTTAACAAGTGATGACAATTTGTAACAAATATTCAGAAAAAATATATATAATTTATTCAGATTTTTTTATGCTCTTTTAATATGAATATGAAACTGCAGTTTTCAATAGATTTTTAATAGTAATGACTATTAAATGTGTTTACAATAATTGTAATTATATCACAAGCTGATTTTTTGCATTTATTTCATTGAAAATGTGATTGAAGCGTAGGACACAAAAAATATTTATCAAATTTTATTATTTATTGTAAAATTTGATATTTCATTATTTAAAACTCTACTCTAAATCAATTTAAATTCCACTTTATTAATTTTTCTGCATTTCTTTACTTATTTTAAATAATTTTTATATCAATAAATTCGAAAGTTACTTCTAAATTATGAGAAAGTAGAATTCCTATAAAAAATATTTAAGCAAATCGCTCCTTAGTTTGAAATCTGATTAATGATATTCATTGCAATCAAATAAATATATTTTGCAAAGCATTTTTAACACCGAGATAATTAATATTAATTATTAAAGATTTTAGTAGAATTGTATAGAGATTGAATATTAATTATTTATAAGTTGAAGGTTTCAATAATTCTTACTTGTTATAATAAATATTCCCAGCTTGATATAATATAATTTTATTGAAAATTAATTTATCTCTTCACAAAGAGTAAAAGTTATTTATAATAAATCCTATAGAAAATTATTCATATTTTTTCCATTTATCTTAATTTCATGCTTATTCTACTATAATTATTGCAATTTCAACAAAGAAATTAAGAAAAAAATTAAATTTTAATCAAATTAAAAAAATAATTAATCTTAAAACTGGACAGAATGTCCTTTCATCCAAATACTAAAGATGAAATTGACGCTATGTTGTATCAATTTCTTGATTTTATAATAAAAATATCATTAGTTTTGTTAACTTCAAATAACTTCGTCTTTGCTGGTTCTGGAAATGAATATCGAAGCGCGTAGTTTGTTAAATTCATCATTAATGGTTTTAAAATATAGAAATTCAATTATATATATTGATAACAAAATCATATAAATTGTTAGAAAATTTACAATAGAATAATAACATATATATATATATATATATATATATCACATATATACATATTACATATATATATATATATATATATATATATATATATATATATATATGAATATATATGCAACTATTTTGTGCTATTTTTTAACCCAAAATTTTCGCAATTACGTAATAACGGTTTCAATTAAATTTGAATTTTAAAAAAATAAAAGGCAATTAAATAGTTTGCTTCATTTGTTTTTTTTTTAATTTTAGAAAACGTATATTGAATATAACGAAAAGTATATTAATGAAATTAGCATTTTCAAATATATTTTTTCTTTGAGAGTGCTCAGAATAAAAACTGTGTTCCATTATTGCAGAAATTGATCTATTATTGAGAAATTAAATTTTCGACAACATTAAAAACCAAGCAACAAATCCGGTTTATAAATAAATGGAGAAATTGTATGATAAGATTAAGTTGATGAAATAAGTTATTGCACAACATATTAAAATTAAAAGTACCTGATAACTTTTTTCAACCTATTTATATTAGTAGAATGAAAAGATCTCTTAAAAGTTATCAGTAAAAGTAATTCACACCTCGAATGTAATTGCACATTGCGACGTTATTGCACTTTACCAATACACGAAGCAAATATTTGCACTCTTCAAACAGATAACGAAATAATATTTAATTACTAATGGGTGATCAAAACATACATCACATAATATAACAGTGAAATTTTTATTTGATATTAATTTGGCAAAATTATTTTAAAATTTTCGTCAACGTGGTCAGATAGGCTATTTTATCAAGATGGTCGATTGCAATTATAATACATTTTTCCTGGGTTTCTTATGTAAAGTTAATAATACATTTTATAGTGATAGATCTTCTAGTCTTACAACCACTAGGCTTAGAGTTTAAATTCTACGTCAGAACCTGTTATCAAGCAGTAGCAAAATCTATTTGCACTTCACAATGTAGATCAAAAATCTATTCCCAAAGTAATAATAGTTTTTCCGGGCTTTGTTTCGAAACACAAGCTAAGTCAAAAATACTATTTGAAGAGTGTGAACATATAATCACAACTAGCTAGTTGTGATCCTTTCTAGAAAGGATAACCATTAAAATGCCTTCTGACAGATTTCAGGAAAAAGTAACAAAATATTTACTGATCCTATTTTAATACATTTCTGCAAATGTCCAGGATTTTCTCTTTGCGATCGTGACAAAATATTAAACAAAACAATTAAATATTATTTTAGATATTTAGTAATTTAGTTAATTTATAGTTGTAATCCTTACTAGAGAGAATAACAATAAGGTTGCCCTCTGATAGGTATCAAGAAATAGTAAAAAAGCAATTACTAAACCCATTCTGAAACATTTCTGCAATCGTCCAGGCAATTTATTTAATTCATGGTTGTGATCCTTTATAAAAAGGATAACCATCAAGTTGCCCTCCGAAAGGTATCAGAAAAAAGTAACAACACAATTGCTAAACCTATTCTGAAACATTTCTGCAATCGTCCAGGCTTTTCTTTTTGCAAGCGTGACGAAGTATTAAATAAAACAATTAAATATTATTTTAGATATTCAGTAACTCAGTTTAAAATTGTGATCCTTTCTAAAAAGGGTAACCATTCATTAGGCTACCTTCTGATATGTATTAGAAAAAAGTAACAAAACGATTATAAACCCATTCTAAAACATTTCTGCAATCGTCCAGGCTTTTCTCATTGCAAACATATTATTAAACAAAACAATTAAATATTTTTTTTTATATATTTAGTAGTTTGGTAATTTGGTAATTTTATATATTTAGTATAAATATTTAATTTAATACAACCCCAAAAAGTAATTGATTGCATCGAATATCCAACTAGTCCTAGGTTTGCTGGTTCGATTCCCGCTACCGCCAAAACCTGACATCAGGCAACTTTGATGTTAAATTTCCACTTGAGGTTATAGATCTCAAATGTAGCCTCAAGTGAAAATCGCTCTTGGATATAGTTGCATATATAATAAAAATGTCAACAAATACTTTGAATATAGTTAATTAGTCATAATTGGATTGGACAACTACTGGGTTGCCATCCATTCAAAAATCTATATAATCAAAACAATTACTGAATGTCCTAAGTGTGACAGATTGTAATTAAAATGTAATTAAAAAAAGATTGCATCGAATAAATTTGCATTCATTCATAACAATAAAAAAGATAATAGAGTCAAAATTTTATTTTATTCTGTGCTGTTATATATTGAATCCAGCAATTCAAACAATTGTTGGAACAAAATAACAACATTTATCTAAAATGATTTTTTAAAGTGCAGAAATTTAACTCAAAAGAAAAAAAGCAACTAAAAATTAAATACAGAGTTTTTATTTCGATTTTATTTAAAAATAATTTTATGCTTTTTATACGTGGAATTCCAAGAATATTTTTTATAATACATTAACAAGAACAATAATGAAATTTGCACATCCTTGACTTTCGATTTGTCACGTGCAGACGTACGATAAATGTTTATAATGTTATTTTGACTCTGTATTCGGTTTATTTGCAGTTTACAGATTAGACTTGCCACATCTAAATAATATAAAAATTAGTAAAATAATTTGTAAATATTTATTTAAAAAATAAAATTAGGATTTTTTATTAATATGAAATAATAAATAATCAAATAAATTTAGTGTAAATAATAAAAGTGTGCATGTGTCATTCTTGATTAATATTCAACGCAATTAAAGATCAATTTTGAATGTATCCTCTCAAAAATTGTTGTATGAGGAGATGACTAGCAAATTTTTTATAAATGTCGTGGATAAATGAGTTTCGAAAATTTATTTTGGATTTTATAAGAACTGTTTTCGAATTATAATAGAGGGAAGAGCTAGAAATCCACATATCAAAATTTGTAAGTGTTTTAATTAATGCATAGATTCAAAGTTAGAAGCTTCAGTAATTTAGTCATATTTGGATAACTATTTAAATTGATAATTTATGTTGTATATATATATATATATACGAGTTAATATTACAACAATATTGTAAATATATATACATATATTTACAATATAGTGTGATAAGATTTTATAAAATGGAGGGCAACGAAGGCAAAAGTTATCTGTATGTCATACATCACTGTTTCTATTAAATGCATCATCTATGATTCCATCAAATTAATTAAGAAATTTCCCAAAAATATGTATGATGTAATGCAATAGTTAATATGCAGCTATTACGTTGGTAACAAACTTGCATTATTGATTTTTTTTATAAATTTTAGTATTTGTTTAATTACATTGGTAACGACAATACATAAACGGTTTAACAATGCAATTTTTTGCTGTGTTGTTGGAAACATATGAATTAATTATTTAATTATTGCTCATTATTATAATAAACTCGTACAAAACTACTAATTATTGGATAAAATTTAATAGTTTCTCTTGAATTCATTTGAAAAAAAAAGACGAGTTTTGCAATGGCTTATTCTGGTTATAGTATACATGTGCTCATGTGCTTCTACCATACACAACGATTTAATACTCATCAAATTATATTCCTTCTCTAAAATATTTTTTTGAAAGATTTCAATTGCATTTTATGATTGATATTTAATATAAAAACAATAAGAGGAACTTTATACTGATCTTTAGATGAAGAATTTATATATGATTGTTTTTTAAATCTGTCTACTAAATGCACCGATTTTAGCATGTGGTCATAATAAATTCTAATAAAAAATAATGATAATAAAGAAATTATGCAAATATGGGAATATCATTGAGAAATTACTTTTCGAAAAAGATGTCTCTCTCTTGCTTGGACTAAAACGAAATTTTATTCTTGCTATATAGTGCAGTAAATGAAGAGGAAAAAAGGGTGTAACTTCTGATTTTTTTTACTGTGCTCCGCTTTGCATGAAATTTTTGAATTAGGTTTATCTTACCATCAAGTTCAAAAGTGAAAACATTTTGGCCTCCACCACCACTTCCCGGGAGGGTTGCGACCCCTTAATGAATAGATGGACATTGGGCCATTTTATCGCCAGAAAACGTTTTTAATATTAAAGGATATAATTCTAAAGTATTTTTAATATATTTACCTTGCAATAAAATCATTTTCAACCCTAAAAACCTTAACACATTCAGATAAATTCAGACCCAAAACACTAGATTGACTGGAGTAATAGTACAATTTACATATAGCCACAAAAAAGAAGAAATTATTCTCCGAAACATGACAATAAACATTTTAACAGTGTAACTTTCAAATTGGATAATTGAAATTTGGATTGGATCCAAAAATTCTGGCACTATAGCAAGAGTTTAACTGTAAAAACATTTAATTTAGCAACTAAACTCTTTTTAATGTTAATTTTATTTTAATTTTTCAGTGTATATATTATACAAACAGTAATGTATGACTCTATAATTAAAAAGTCGCCTACACATTCGTATTTGAGTTTTAGATTAAATTTGTCGATTAATATGCTAAATAAACCGCAAGCCACCGCATACTTATTTATATCACAAAACTATTGTGATAAACAATAAATTTATTCAAATATTTTAGTAAATGGAACCTGTTATAGAAGAAAATGAAACTCAACAAAGGAACCATGAAAAAACCGAGAGTTCTCTAACAATTGCCACCTGTGTCGAAGAAGACGATGATACGAGTATATCTAATTTTGAATCAGAATCTACAACAAATGAGTTTAGTAAATGTTTATATTCAATTATTATTTATTACTTGAAGTACTAATGCAACATTCCAACTGAATGAGACAACAAATTGATGTAGGGTTAACCCTTACAATATGTTAAAATTTGATTAATAGTTATTACTAATAGTAGAAATCAATTTCAATTATTAAATCTAATATTTGAAATTTATTTGGATATAACTGAAAAAAAAATTTTTTTTGCTGTAGTATTTAGCTAAAAATTATATAAAGACATCAACATTATATAGGATACAGAGGATATAGGATAATATAAAGACAATGAAATTTTCATTTATCATTTAGGGTGGCCAATCCTGCACAATTTATAAGATCTCAGACAAGCGGAGGGACCTTTGGAGAGGTCAAGATTGAAAATTCCCAAGATGTTCACTTCGGGAATAAAATATTTACTGCTCCAATAACGGTGGTCAATGCCGTCGGTGAAGAGGAGCAGGATAAGTTGGGTATTTTAGGTGAGCATTATTCAAAATAGCACGAATATAATTATAGTAATTAATAAGGAGAAACCGCGCGTTGCTCGTCTCGAATTCTGATGAAACTTGGCACCATGGTAGATTTGATGCCCAAACCGACCGTGGTAAAATATTAGAGGCCCATGAAAAGCTGTTTAATTATAAAAAATAATTAAAGTTTGCATTTTAGCAGCGTTCGGCACGCATAGCTTGCAATGCTTTTCCTTGTTTATATTTTTTTAGAGTGTGTGAGTAGTGTAAGTATCAACAGAATGATATGATGATGATATGTCATCTCACTACTTTTTATTTTTGGAGAACTCCATATCGAAAAATCTGTTCACACACACACACACACACACACACATACACACACACACATACTTTTTCCAAATTTGGTCTCATTCGATTCAGAATGGCTCGAAACGTCGAGAAAACATAAAATTAGCGATTCGGATTTTTTGATGAAAACATAAACTCCTTCGGGAAGTTAATAAAACGATTATGGAATTAGGATGTAGGAATAAATTTCCAAAAAAAAAAATAGTTTTGAATGTGAAATATATCAATTAATTGTGTTAATTAATGAAGTGCAACGGGAACGAATCTCAATTAAACTGCATTCAAATTTTGTGCTGACTAAATAAATAAATAATTATAAAATAATAATTATAAATAAAAATATGATTAATATTTAAAACAAAATTGTATATAAAACATGCCAAAATAAAATTTCCAGGCGCCCTTCGTGAGCGGTTTCCAAATAAATTTTTGAAAAGTGATATATTTGACCAATTAAACAATGGAAAGCAAAGTTGCAATTTGATTTGGTACGCTGTTACTGGAGGAGTTTTGATAGTAACTGCTGTTGTCCTAATTTCTGTGACAGTAACAGTTTGGAACACTCAGAATCAGTCCATGGAGGCCGAGGAGGAAACCGAAGAACTATGTGGGTTGATAATAGAAATTATCAATATTTACGAATATTAAAAATTTAAAGGAAAAAAAATACAAATACTAAAAAGACCATCTTATTCGCTTCCCACATAGAAACTTATTGCAAATTCCAAGAAATAGAATCAGGAAAAGTGTTAATTTTTAAACTGTTTGGTTTGGAAAGGACGAATAAATTTGCAATGTTCTTCCGGTCCAATGTATCATTTGTTTTTTCATTTATTGATTTTAAAGAACATATTCTAGTGAAAAAAATGTAATTTCTAAACTTGGCTTTAGTTAACAACATAGCATCCTTCAATAATGTGTAGAGATTGACCAAAACCAAAAAAAATCGTCTTTAGCATTTAATATAATGCATTTCTCTTAATTAAAATGACCATTTATTCAATGAAATGAGATAACATGATATAGAGAAGTTGAGGAATATTATAGATAATTAAAAACTAATTTATTTCTTCATAATATTTAGTTATAAATGAATCTTGGTACGTACCGCGATCGGTTTGGCACGCCAAGAACCCTGTGAAACGCGATTTGCTGCACCTGCCTGTGGATTACCTGTCGGTTTGCCACACCGTCAGTAAACCTTATAACGACAGTGATTCTTGTACGAATTATATTGTTGGATTGCAAATGGATTCTATGCACATACAAGAATTGCCAGATATTCCATTTAATTATTTGGTTTGCGGAAATGGTCACATTTATGAGGGAACAGGATCTAACGCCATTGGTTCGTTATTATCGTTTATTTTCAATGTTAATGTCAGCCATATCTATAGAAACTACAAGAAATGAATAGAGCAGCCTATAATTTTCATTTAAACAACTAAATATTTTTTAAAAGCCTGTTAACAGTCACGTGTGTTTTAGAATTTCCATTTAAGTTTTAGTTGTCTATAATAAATGTTTTTAAATGTGCAAAAATTTATAGAAGTTTGATATATTTATCTCTTAGGATCGCATACTTATGGAATAAACTTCAACAGTATTGGATTAGGATTTATAGGAGATTACAGCAGAAGGGACTTTTTAAATGATCAACAAATTGAGAATGCTCAATTATTACTGTCCATCTTAGTCAATAAAGGAAAACTGAGTCCGGATTATAAGTTAATACCATCAGAATCAGTGAACGCTTTAGATAGCCCAGGGAAGAATATTATAAATGTCATCAAGAATTGGGATCACTATCAATATGGTTTAAGTCCTAAGAAAACTTTTTGACAAAAGAATTAAGATAAATTTGAAGACTGATAATTAGAATAATATTAAGCATGACATCAGTGACTTATTTTATATAAATTTAAATTAAGAACAAAAAAAATATAATGTTTTAACAATAGTAAATATTAATATTTACTATTAAAATCATAATTATAATTTTTAATTTATTAATTATAACTGGTAGTATAATTTATAATTTTATTAATAAGTATGTAATGAAAGTGAAATAAATAATTACTACATGAACTTCATTGTATCTCTCATATTTAATTGCTAGATTGATTTTATTAATTCTGTAAATTTAAATATTAAAACTTTTCGCTGGTTAATTCTTATGAATTATGAATAACATTATGATATTAAATATATGTTTCGCAGAAAAGAAGAATTGTTGGGAAAGATTTAAGAAAATTGTTAAAAGTACAAGTATCCGAGAACGCATAGCAATAGCATTTTTGGCATCTTTGGTTTTGGTGATTGTTCTCATTACTACTGTGATAAGCATATTGTTGACCAATATTCAAGAGGCAACGCAACCTGAAGCGACAACAGGTATTGAATCTTCCGAATCTTCCTATAAAATTAATTGAAGTTATCTCTTACACAAGTTGTCGATCATTGGCATTCTTCCTCATCCCTTTGCTTTCAGTTTTTCAATTTTTGCATCCATTTACTGAAAATGGTAACAAACCAGGTTCTGTTTCCTCATACGACCACTTTTCTATTTCATTATCTGCAGTATTTTTTCTTTATCGATTATATGCAGTTTACCTCGTTGATCTTCACCATTCTTCTCCAGCATCACGTCTTGAAATTCGAGATAGTAATTGTAGGCCTTCCTTCAGGACAAAACCATACTCCAAATGTATCATTTTATTAACTATAACTATTTTAGTACACGCAAAAAAAAACAGAATAAAAACAATATGACCAGTATATTCTGCTTTTATAAACAGTGCCTAGTGTGACATCAGCTCCATACAATTGCATGGTTTCCAGAAATATTTGGATGTCCCGATCTCCCAGTGGCGAAGTAAACTCCGTTCCACGCAATGCATCGTTGGTGGTAATTTTGCACACCGCGACTCAATTTTGCAAAACTCCACCGGAATGTGCACAAGCAACTAGAACTGCACAGAATTACCATATGGATGTACTACGATTCGCCGATATTGGGTAAGAATTAACATAGTGTTTTTTAATATTTGTATTGTCCACTTATACTTAGAGCATTTAACTGTTCAAAATATTTATTATTATTTATTTTCACTATTTCTTATATCGTATTATTAGAGGAAAGTCCCGTAACGCCGGACGGCACATACCGCCGGACACTCTATTTAACACATTATTTAAGCAAGTATAAATATTTTCATTTTAAAATACGAGTGAAGGGGCCGTGAAGGGCAGTAATTCTAGTATATTTATGCATTTACATTTGTGTGGTATGCAAAGATAAAAGTAGTATTTGATTAAAGGAAGGTTAAAAAAGTTAATTATTTTTTAGTAAAGGTTGCGTTTTTGTTAATTTAGTTTGATTTCTATCTTTGTTATCTAACATAAGTCATAATTTAATAAACATTTCGTAAAATATTTTTTGATTCACATCTATCCAATGTTGCAAGTCATTTTTCAATTTAATAATTCAATCTGCAATATCACAATTCACTTTGGAATATTACAAATAAAGTATATTAATCTTTACACAGCACCAGGGCTCGATCCAAGTACCTCTGGCATGTGGGTTAAGCTTGTTAATAACATAGCCAGGCCCGCATAACGGAATTGAAATAACATAAAAAAGTAACAAATAACATTTGAATGAATGAAATAGTAAAAATATTTAGCACAAAGGTTTACTTGAAAATTAATTCATTGAACAAAACTAAAAATTTTAAACAAATTAGTTTTTGGACATCTTATGTTAAACTTATTTTTTATCTATATTTTTAAGTGAATATTTACTACCTTGCAACACTGATGGTTAAATCCGATACCTTGTAGTTACAGACGCTGAACTACTGAATATACCCTTAAGAAATTGTTTAGAACTCTTCTTTTTTATACCATATTTTCAGATATAACTTCTTGGTCGGCGGTGACGGATACATATATGAAGGTCGAGGTTGGGGCAAAGAAGGGGCATATGCAAAGGGTTATAATAAAAAAAGTGTTGGAATAGGTTTTATAGGTATATATTTTTTGTAATTTTTAATTTAGGATTTTAATTTTATTTGGCCTCGCTTACTCTGAGTCATCTACAATGTCTTATTTTATTATATACTATTTTTTATATTATATTCAATCTTATACATCCTATTCTATATTTTCATTCTTATTTTTTTTCTTCAAACCAGATATTTCAATGACTTTCAATTATTTTCTTCAATTTTGACTTTTTCATTCTTAATTCTATTCAACTCCTATCTTCCTTTCCATTTTATTTCTTCATTCTTCTTCTAATCTCAGAGTTCTTTTTTTTTTCTTCTTTCTTCTGATACAACTCAGCTATTCAAATTCTGTAATTTCTATTCTTACTCCTAATTTTTATTTAAATTCTACTTGACAAATCCAATTCTATTTAATTTCAAATTAACTCTATATATATTTTTTCTTAAATTCTAAGTCAATGACAGGATTCGATCTAAAGCTTCCACGTGAGTCGAACACGCTACTAATTGAGCTATGCTCGCCACAATTTTGGATTTATAATCCATATTAATCAAGATTTATTATGTTAAAATATAGGTAAATATCACGATACGTATCCTTACTATGACACACCAACTCCGGATCAAGTTCGCTGTACGCAAAACTTGCTGGAAGAAGGCGTCAAATTGGGATGGCTTGCAAGTAATTATAGCCTTGTAGGATACTGTGATCTCCTTGTCGGGATACCACCTGGAAATGTTCTACTTAAAGAGATCAGGACTTGGCCACATTATAGGAAAGAAGGAAACCCTGGAACATGTGTTTAATAGGCAATCAAGCACATTTATAAAATACAATTGTAAATACTAGTTAATTAATGAACATTAATTTTAAAATACACTTTATTACAAGGTAATAATTGTTTAGTAAATATCATTTATTTAAAATATAGCTTCAAAAACCGAGACATTGTTTTATTTTTTATCTGTTCTTTCAGTGAAACGACACTTTCTATATTATTGTTATATACGGAATATCGTGTGGGTAAAATTTTTGCCATCATGAATTTAAAATTAGCTATTTAAAAAGTACATTAGTGAAGTCTTAGTTGTATTTTTACTATTACAAGTATGTTCTCTGAGATGTGGCAAAAAATGAAAAGCAACGAATGGTGTGCAAATCTTTAAAATTTAAAAAAAAATCACAATTGTTAATTACGATGAATTTATCCCAGCAATTTTCATTAAGACTTTTTAATGGAAACGAAAACCACAAAATACCAAATAGTTTCTAAAATTTCAGAAATAACATATATTAGTTGGCAATTACGAAGCAACTCTGAATTTTGAAAGAATTTGAAAAATCGCAATATTAAATTCGTATGTAAAAATATGTAAGCCTATAATGATAATTATAAAATCATTCCAAATTTCATTAGTATAATAAGATAACCACTTTAACGACGGACGTAAGAATGAAAGTGCAATTAACTTGTTGAAAAATTCAAGCCACTTTCAATAGCTTTTTGAAATATTTTATCAATTCAAATGCTTATTAAGTACTCATTATTATTTATTTCTGTTTATAATTTTTATTGAAGGATTCCCCTTTTTGATGATAGCATTAAAATTTAACATAATTTTAGTTCTTATAGTTTTTTAATTTATTATCTTGAAGAATGTAAGTGATTATATACAAACATACATACAAATACATACATATGTATTTATATTCTTCCTAATATATGTATGTATGCATATATGTATATACATATATACATACATACATACACATATAACCAGTGTGTATAAATTTAGATGATCACCAAGAGAACAAATTAAATTGTACAATATTAATTACAATTTATTGCAGACATATTGAAAGCTTACAAGCTTTAGTCATAATGGGACATTACCTATTTCCTATTTTAATAGTTCTGATGGCTATTGCAGTAAGCAGTCATCAGACACTTGATAATGGTAAGTTCTTCGCAAAAAGGAATTGGCCATATCAAATTAATAATAAAAACAAGACATGGCTTAATTACTTTTTGCATTAATAAAATATAAGTACTTGACTATTCCCACTAATTTTAGAATTGCAGAACTGTGTAATACCTCGAAGTGCTTGGACCTCAGCTCCCTTGAATTCAGAGATAGAAGATTTAGAGGGCGAAGCACCTTTGGCTATAATATTGCATACAGTATCACAATCTTGCAAAAATTCGCAAGAATGCAAGGAAGTAGTCAAATCAATTCGCAATTATCATGTTGATGTTTTAGGATTTGATGATATAGGGTAAGACATTAATGATATTCTTGATAGTAGTTAAATTTAGTAACTTAATGATTATAATAAAAATAGAATCACATTTAGAAAAAAAACACTCATTGTTGCCTTTCAATAATTTTTCATCACAACTAGATTAAAACAATCAATAGTTGCTTCATAATAAGCCATTAGTAGCATAAAATATTATATGCATCATTACACAACTTTAAAAATTCCAAAAAAATCTAAGAGCTGCTATAAATATAGAAGACATTTTCAGTCAATCTATTGAACTTGAAAAAAAATTTAGTATTATTTTATGAACTGGTATGAAAAAGATTGATGCAATAAAAACTACTATTATTTTTAGAAGATAATATATTAAGTTTTTTATGTTTAATATTTCATATATTTTCAGATATAATTTCTTGGTGGGCGGCGATGGACTCATATATGAAGGAAGAGGTTGGGGTAAAAGAGGAGCTCACACTTTTGGATTCAATAGCCAAAGCGTCGGAATAGCATTTATAGGTATAATAAAATTATTTGCCCATTAAGCAATAAATCCTAAGATATATTATATATCGATTTAACTAAGTTGTTAGTGTAATGGTTCATGCAATATGTCGTAGCTATATTGATGAGAAAAATTGGTTGAAATCATTTTGTCGGGGCATTTAAAAAAGCACACGTTTAAATTCTGATATATTTACCTCTATAGTACTGTTTTATATAAAATATGCTTCTAATAAAATTTTTGAAAAATAATTCATATGCGTGAGGATAGAATAGTAGTTACTGATAAATCAATATTATTAATGCAAACTTTGTTATCAAATTTTTGAAAAAATAATTTTGAAAAATAATTCATTTGCGCGTGGGATAAATAGTAGTTACTAATGATTCTATATGTGAACTTTGTTATCAAAACTGAATATATTATTTTAAACTAAGGATTTTGCCCAATGCTTTAATATTTTCTGCATAAATTCTTTATCTATTAACCTGAATATTTCTTTTATTCAGGTAAATATCATGACACGTTCCCCATTCACGATTCGCCAACTAGCCACCAGGTAAGTTGTACTAAACGGTTACTGGTGGAAGGTGTAACATCAGGATGGCTTGCAAGCAATTATAGCTTGGTTGGATATTGTGATCTCATGTCAGGAATTCCACCAGGAAATATTCTAGTACAAGAGATAAGAAAGTGGCCACATTACAGAAAAGAAGGAAATCCTGGAATTTGTAAATGAAAATTTATTTGATTTTTATATTCGAAAACGATTTGAAAAAATAGAAAAAAAACTGATCTATACTATGTAGATACAGTAAACAATAAAAGATGCATAAGTAAAAAATCTTTCTTGTTAACTTACCGTAGGGCAAGTTATAGGGGGAAGTCCCGCAACGCCGGTCGGCACCAAGCACCGGACACTCTATTTAACACTCATTAATTAAGCGTGTATAAATCTTTTTATTTCAAAATACAAGTGAAAGGGGCATGGGGGCACACTGGTACAAGATCACGCGCCAAGCCTCGCCTGTGACGCACACGGCCATAGTGAGAGCAACTCTTTCCTGTTTTAGGCGCAAAATTACGGCGTCACCTAAATATCAATGGAAGTAATTCTATTAATATTTATGCATTTACATTTGAGTGGTATGAAAAGATAAAAGTTGTACTTAATTGTTATCCGTAAAATGGTAGAATATTGTTAGATCTTTTAACCAATTTTAGTAGGTGCCACCAAATGAACGAAAATGTCTGTCCCATCTTGATAATAGAAAAACGGTAACTTAGTTTTTAAGAGAACGGAGTGTCTGATTTTAATTATTCTTATTTTACGATTTTTTACTTTAAGATGAAGAACTGATTAAATGTTTGAGAAGGCAGGTCTAGCGGTTTCCGAGATCTATATCTTTCTATCTAATTATAAGATATTTTATAGAGATTTTAATAGTTATATTATCAATTTTGTTTACATTTCTATGGGTTCCGTAACATCGTTTGTGCGTTAGACCGCGACGCGGCGCTTACGCGCTTCGATATGTCATCTCTATGCAGGTAAAGCAGTGCGATTGCTTTGAAAAAAAAAGTTCAATATTTCCAAAATATTTAAAAAAAATAAGTTTTATTTTTCAAGTCATTTTTTTCAAAAATTTAAAATTCCTCAAAAATCAATGATTAAAAAAGGAAATTTAATTTAAAAAAAAAAATTGGTACTGGCAGTTCCAGAAATTTGCCTTAATGCACGATGCCATACACACTATTATTCTTTTCTGCGTTGATTGAAACAAAATATCATTTTTTATTTATGTGACTTTTTGTGCAAAATATTATGCAATTCAAGTCAAATTCGAAAACATAAATTAGTTTTCACATATGCGGCATTAGTTATTTTTAAATTGCTAATGGTGGTCATATTTCAATACGACATAAATTCACAATGGGGTGTATCTCCGAGCGCATGCGTATTCCGGAATCAATACAGTTTTGTCTTCAATTTATATCATTGTAAAACTGTACATCATAAAGACATGAAATGACCAGAAAATATTAAAATGACCAAACAATAAAGAATAAAGAATGTTAACCATTGAAGACTAAAAATTCTGTGATGTAAAATAGAAGTGATTAATGTATTTTTGTTGTCTGTTTGATTATATAGTTTATTAAATATTTATCAACATGGGTTCTGTGAATGGCGACGCCGACAGTTTAAATACGGCATATGTCCAACTGAAAACTCATAGAAGGAAGCACAATAATAGTGGACAAAATTGCTTTCGAGATGCAAATATTACACCGCCAGTTGATAAGCACAATGGCATATACTTCGCATTGGTCTTGGCGGGTGTTGGGTTTTTATTGCCCTATAATAGGTACGAAAACAGTTGGTAATAGGATCAAAAATATATGAATTAGATGAAGAATAAAATTATTGTTAATAATATACATAATATAGTTACATAGATTGAAAGAAAACTGCTTAAATTTTGCTGAAAAGTTATAAGTTCCCTTGATTTATTAATTATAGTTTTATAAAAAAATGATAAAAGCGTCAAAAGATAAATACATCGGAGAGTATGGATGACTGATATTATTTATGATCTTATTTTTCTGAACATTAATCCTTCTTTTTTTTTTAAAAAAATATTTATATAATTTTCCTTATATAAATATTTTCCACGTTTCGAGAATAAGGGATCTCCCGATCTACAAGAAATTGAGGTATGCAGTGGTACTTCAACATACGAGTTCAATTCGTCCCGTAACCACGCTCGTATGTCGAAGCACTTTTTTCATATAAATACATTAAAATGCTATTAATTCGTTCCAACACTGTGGTTTCTGTTAAGTTTTTTGAATAATAAAAATAAATTTACTATATATTAATTAAATTATTGTTTTTCCCTGTCCAGACATGATATTGCGAAAATGAGTTAGACATGTTTCGTTGAACAAATCTCATGTTCGAACTGTCGCAACTTTTTCAGAGCGATTTTTACCCACAAACTTTTAAAGCTCAGAAAGCTGCTTATAAATTATTGTAAGGCTCTAAGCTGGATTTATACCCTTTATCAACTCCAGTTTGAACACAGTCCATATCTGTGGTGGTACATCCTCGTCATCCTCATATTTTTCAATAATTTCACATTTTAATTCAAGATACATGGCACTTTCCTTGAACCCACGTTTGTAAAAGTGCATAATATTTTGTAAATGTACAAAAACCAAAAGAAGCGAACTCAACATATATAACCGTACAATCACTATTAATGTATAGTTTCAAATGTTAAAAATAATCCTTGATATATTCGCGTAGTTACTACACAATTAATATGAATATATAATAAATTTATCGTAAAACAGCCAAAATATTTCTTATAGTAAAAAATCATTGCTACATCTGATGAAATTTTTCATATTTTCATTATGAGGTTAACGATCTTTTAAAAAATTCTTACTCGCTCAAAGCTCGTATCTCAAAGCAACGAATCTGTCTTTTGGCGGCTCATATCTCGAAACACTCTTAAGTCGGGTCACTCGTAAGACGAGTTACCACTGTATCTAATTTAATTAAATTTTACTTATCTAATTTTACGAAAGAGTCTTTATATCTCAGATATGTATCTGTATGTTGATTCTAAAATTTGATAAAATTTGCTTGTTTTATGCTATATGAGTATATTTGCACAATTGCGATCTTACCGAACATATGCAGTTATATTAATAACATAAAAAATTATAATTTTGATAATAATATAAAATGTAGATTATAAAATCACGTATGCTATTAAATTTTATTATTAGTTCTCCGTCTTGATTATTAACAATGAAAACAAAATTACATCACTCAGCCAATAATATAAATATGCAGTACCAAACAAAATTAGATAATCATAAATAATCGAATTTTTATTTTAAGTATATACAATAATTGCTTTTGTTAGAATAATTATTAAACTATTATTTATTCTTTATTCGATTATGTTTCTGTTACGATATAAGACTGATATTCATTAGATAATAGCCAACATAGACAGATAATCAATAATAAAATGTGAGACCAACTAGAGGAATAGAAATATAATAAGATTTTTTTATTTCAGTTTTATTATGGCGGCTGATTATTTTTCTGCTCGATATCCGGACAGTACAGTAGTTTTTGATATGTCAATAGTGTATATAGTTGTAGCATTTTGTGCGGTGCTAGTTAACAATATTTTAGTGGAAACGTGCTCTCTCAATACGAGGATTACTTTCGGTAAGTTGGATAAAATTTAGTATAAACAACTATTTGCTAGAGCTTAAATGTTTTGAATCAATGCAATAAACTTTAATTGATAAATGATAGAGTAGTAGAAAATATCAACTTAAAATAAGCGCCAATGCGCTCATTCTCATATGTCATCATATTTAATAAGTTTTGTGAAAAACAATGTATAGTTGTAGTTTTTGGACTTAATGATTGTGTATGAGATTATCAATCGAATATTTGAGAAAACTTAATTGATTGCAATAGTATGATAATACAGGCATTACACAAATTTCTAATTTTTCAAATGGTGGAGTATCTATAATGTTTTTTCTATTAAGGGTACATCCTCTCACTGCTGACATTGTTATTTGTGGCATTTTGTGAGATCGGTTGGGAAGTCTTCAGCGAATCAATGTCATATGCTGTCAATCTATCAGCAGTGGCAATTGTTGCAGTGGGTTGCACAGTGCAACAAAGTAGTCTTTATGGATTCACCAGCATGCTACCCAGTCGCTATACACAGGCAGTCATGGCTGGTGAAAGTAAGTTATATTTAGAGTTATAGATACATATTGGATTTTAAAAACAAATTGCTTAAAGATGGCCATAATATATCTGTTTTGTTATTGCTGTTTGAAGAGTAACACCGCGGAAGTACTTAGACATACTATACAACGATCTACTCCATCCCAGTAGAGAAAATATAGTACTAACAATAAAATAACCATTCCATTCAATCCGTAAAACTTCCCGTTTCGAGAAATGGCTGAAGGATTATATTTTTAGACATTCAATTTTCAATTTTTATTTTCGTGGCTCGTATCCTTATGTAGCTTTAAGCAAAGTTTACTATACACATTAGTGTTACACTCTCAAGTATATGTAAAATAGCAAATCGATGGCACATGCAATGGTCATCATTAGTATAACGACGCGTCATCGACTTAAATTCGCTCGAAGACTTCATTATTATATTTCAATTTCTAATTTATACAAAATTAAAGTATTCAATTCGATAAAATATTATGAATTATATCGATTACAGGTGCAGCAGGATTTTGGGTGTCGCTGAACAGAATTTTCACTAAGCTGCTGTTGTCAGATGAACGTCAAAATACAATAATATTCTTTCTTCTTTCTATAATGTTAGTTGGCATCAGTTGCTTATTATATCAAGTGATAAAAGACACGGCTTTTGTTAATTTTTATATAAGTCTATGTCAAGAGAGATCAAGAATCGTTTTGGAGCCGAATGAGGACATGGGACTGGTAAGAAATATAAAAGTTATTCCATTTTAATTCAAAAACTAAATATATTTTCATATTTGAATTGGAAAACCTTTTTGGTTATGGTGTTTGTATAACAAAAATGAATTAAAAAAAAATAAATCATGAAATTAATGATTCCTACAATTCCTTTGTAGATGGAAAACGGCGATCAAGATCACATACGTTATGGAGTCCTAAAAATCCAAACAAGCCCTCCACCAGTATCGACAGCTGCTGGTGTGAGTCAAAGTGAAGATGCAAATGGTTTTGTGGATGAACCACTAAATACACCGCCTGTTCTACAAACAACTACAAACCAGACTACTAATAAATATACATCCTTTAGTTTTTCTAATCCAGTGTATGATCTTAGCAATAATGCTTATGACCTTAGTGCGGTAGGTGCTACTACAAATGATGGAAGATCGCCGACTGGTTTTGAAACGCGCAGAAGTAATACTAAGGCTTTCAAGGTAGAAGACGTAGTGATACGTGGGGCGTCCAGATGTGGCGGCATCAAACGTGAGTTGAATAATTCAGCAATACCATTTTTATTAACAAACAATAAAATTTGTTCAATTTAAAAGTCACTTGACTACAATAGATTTTGTTTGGCACTGTAATTGAAAAAAATTGTGCAAACCCGAAGATTTATTTTTTGTCGGCGTTTTCTCAAAAACGGTTGCATTGATTTCAAATATTTAAAAGAATTTGATGGAGCTTGATAAGGACCCGCGTTCATTAGCTTTGCGAAACTATCTGCCGAGCCGTTTCTTTACAACAAGCAGGAAAGGGCAAAAATATTTATTTCGCATTTTAGTAAGGTGACCATATTTTTTCAAGTCAAAACCGGGACGCTATTGCTAAAAAAATTAATATGATTTTAAAGTAACAAATACTGTTTAAGAATTCAATAAAAATCCGCCTTCTTTAAATGAGTATTTTTTTAAAATCAGAATTACTGACTTAGAATTTTATTATTCGACTATATGTTATATTTTATCTTATATTTTTAGATCTGTTTGTTTTTGCAGCTTTTAAACTTATTATAAAAATTTCTTCAATTTTTTCCATACTTATTTAAAAATAATTAACACATTCATTTGCGTTATTTCAGGCAGTCAAATCGTTCATTTTCATAATTTTTCGTAAAATTAAAAGAAGACAGTTCAAAATTATGAATGTGAGAGGCTATTTTAACCCGCCTTTTTCATAAGCTTGCTAGTTGTACATAATATTTTCAGATATTTGCTGGGTAGTTGTAATTTTATTATCAAGTAAGAGCGAAGAATCAATTAAGACCTATACGTTTAGAAAACCCGGGACACAAGGTGAAATCCGGGACTGTCCTGACCAAACCTGGACGTATGATCAACTTAGTTTTAGTGAAACAAAATAAAAATTCTAAACCGATTTTGAAAATTCAAAAACTGTACGAACGATATTAGTTGGGAATCGTGCTGATTAGTTAGTAGAGATAGATCGCTTTTGTTTCAAAGTTTTTGATAAAACTTTAAAGATACACTTCATGGTCTTAACAAACATCTTAAAATATTACGAACTCACGAAAAGTGATTTAATAATAATATTTTCTTAAATTTTGAAATAATAATGGGCTTTGCCACAATGTTGACAGTTGCTAAACTCAGTTTTTATTGATGTCGATTATACAAGTTGAAATACTTCAAATTTATAAAAGTACATACGCGACATAATAAAAGAACTGTAATATGAGTCTATCACAATGCAATTCAAATGAATCATATCGATTTTCAAATATTTATTAAATTTTAATACAAATATGTGTTCGAAGCATAATAAAACAAATGAATACTTATTGCGATAAACACATCCAAATAACTGTAATTATTTCATATAACTTGTACGGATATACTGAAAGAAGCAAAATTTAGATGCCCCCACCATAGTCCCTTTGGCGCAGCGGATAGCGCGTTGGACTTCTAATCCAAAGGTCGTGGGTTCGATCCCCACAAGGGATGTTGAATTTTTTTAATAATATTTTCAAATTTCAATTTTATTTTTCAGCACATGTTTTTAAAATTATTTGTTCTACTTATTTTTTAGAAATAAAAGTAGATTTGCCACTTTAAAAGAGTTTGAAGTCATAATCATAACGTTGCTCATATAATTCTATATTGTTTTGCGTTTCGAACAAGGAATCCATTAATAATAAAAAACCAAATGCTAAAAAAATTAGATGTGTATGGCATCGTGCCTTGAGGCAAATTGCTGGAACTTCCCGAACCGTAAAGAAATGTTCGAGGAATATTAAATGTTTTCAAATAGGTTATTATAAATACCAAAACATTGTATAATATTTATAAGAATTATAGAAACAGAATTAAATTTGAAATATTTTTTTTTGCAAAAGCAATTATTTTGTCAAAATAAGCAGAAAGTGTTTTGAAACATTCAAATCGGATGCTCGGTTCTTTCAAAAACTATCATTTTTTGCACAATTAGCTCGGTATCTCCAAAACTAAACACATGTTCACCCAATCATTACAAATTGAATGTTTTTTGGATTTCCCTAAAACCTCGATTTCTATTTTCTGCACTCTTTGCTGCGGATCTCCCTAACGGTTGGACCTGCCCTTGCCAAAAACTAATCATCACATCTCCCTATCAATAGGAATCGAATGTTTTTTGAACCGTTGAAATCAGTTGATCCGTGCGCCCAAAAACGTAAACGAAACAATGTGAACACACAAAACACACACACACATCCATTTTTTCTAAGATGAACATTTTGGTTCAAAAAGGTTCAAAACGGGGAGATATGCAAAAATTTTCATTTTCGATTTTCTATACTATAACTACCCTACGGGAAGGAAAAAAAGTCATTTTATGTCAACGTTTCGGAACTATGTACGTTTCATCTTCGGGAAATCCTGAACTGAGTTGAGAACAATTGTCCTGAACTGAGTTGAGAACAATTGTACTGAATTTTATGGAAGTATGAAACCCACATAATATTTATTTGATTTTTTTTTCAGGTGCAATAAGTATAAGATGGCGAGTAGCCGGCTGCGTTTATCCTTATATGGTGACAATATCATTAGCATATTTTGTCACTTTATGCTTATATCCAGGAATAGAAACTGAAATAGTTAGTTGCCGATTGGGATCGTGGATGCCTGTAATGCTAATGACTGTATTTAATCTATCGGATCTAATAGGAAAGGTAAATATAGATCAAGAATTTATATTAGTATGTGTATGTGTGTTAGTTTAACTTCTTATTTTTATTTCATTGTTTTAATGTTTACCCAAAATACTAGTAGCTTTTACAAACAATCATATTGGCGCCAAATTGAATTATTAATTTTATTTGGCAATTACAGATTTTGGCATCTATCCCTTACGAGTGGTCGAGGCGGCAACTGATTATGGTATCAGCTTTACGAATGCTTTTAGTGCCACTGTTTATACTGTGCGCATCCCCAAGAGCGCATCCTATACTAGCCGGTAATAACATGCATTTTTTTAAATGAAATACATACTATAATAAATGTACATTTATAATATTCGACTTTTAAATTTCTTATTTTTTTATAGCGGAAGAGTACTCTTTAATACTCTCGTCGTTATTAGGAATCACTAATGGCATGGTAGGATCTGTTCCAATGATACAGGCGCCACAAAGAGTTCCTCAAGAGTTCAGGGAAATCACAGGTATGCATTGAAGAATATACTAGTTGCATATTGAAACTAATTATTGGATAAGAAAACATAGGTCAAATATAGTTATTATATAAGGTTGTTCGGAAAGTCACTTCGTTTTTTACCACCAGAATTTAACTATATTTTTTTGAACCTAACATCACACTTAAACCCTATAATTATTATATGATTTGAAAACTTATATTTTAAGACTTGTGTGTAAAAAATTCTAATCTATTACATGCAGTAGTTTTTGGATGGTGCCACTTTGAATACGAAAAGAATTAAGCAGTATTTTCGACATATTTTACTCTTTTGCTATAGAAAAGGTAAAAAAACTGTTTAAGTCAAAATTAAATTGATCGATATGCACGGAAATGACGTGTTGATAGTACGGCAGTGGCAAAATTGGTTTGCTAAATTTCATTCTTGGTATTTTGATGTCCAATATGCACCAAGTCCAAGAAGTACGGTTGAAGCTAACAAAGACGCGAGAAAGGCATTAGTGGAAGCAAACCGACAAATAACAATACATGAGATTCCATTGAGTAAAAATTTATCAAATTTAACAGTTCATGACCACTGAAAAGGTCTGGGATTTTCCTCAAAACTCAATGTATGGTTATCAAGAAAGAAACGTGTGCCATCGCACTGGCGTTAGCGATTCGCCTCTGAAAAGTCTTGAAAATTATCAGGTTTTAAAGCGAATTGTCACTAGGAATTTCAAATGAAATGTAAAGAATGCAATACACGCAATTGCCCATGAAACAGAAAAGAAGATACTGCTCAAGACAAGTGCAAAGCCGAAATTTGACAGAAAAATGTTATGTATGTATGTTTGGTAAGATTTTAAAGGAGTTGTTCATTTTTCAACTTTTCCAGTATAACATAACGGTTAATTTGAATGTCTTATGTCATCAACTGGATAAACTAAATGATATACTTCAATAGAAAAGGTCAGAATAAACCCACAAGCAAGGTATAGTCCTGCATCAAAAGGACGCAAGACCTCATATAAGTTTAGTCAATCGCCAAAAGCTTTTGTAGCTTGAATGGGACTCAATGACACGTTTATCATATTCTTCAGACCTGCCATCATCGGATCATTATTTGTTCCAGCCACTAAAATAATTTTTAGGCGGTAAAACCTTTACCTCAAATCAGCATACCAAAAAGCACTTTGATCAGTTTTTTTTTTAAATAATGACAAAAAAAATTATGTTCTCCAAATTGTGCTAATACCAGAAATAAGACAAAAAATGTTCGATCAAAACTGCCAATACATAATAATTGAAGTATTTGTTTATTGTACGAAACTTACGTATCAAAATATCTATAAAAAACGAAGTTACTTTTCGAACAACCCAATAGAATTTCACAGATGACTACAAGAACTTCTTAAAATTCTCTTTGTAGGCAGTTTTTAACAGTTTTCATTTCAAACTGACATTGATTGAATATTCTCTTCAAAATAAGGATTTTTCTATAGACTGATATCTTTCTATTCCTACTAAAATTTTTCAAATTAAATATCAGGTTTATATTGCTCGTTGAAGCAATTGAACTTGTCTTCATCAGTGTACTCTGAATTAATTCGAAAAATCTACAAACTTATTAGTACATCATTAACCATACAGTGATTTACGAGTACCCTCCTCATTAGACAATTCTGACGACGCACCTTTGGCGCCACATTTAACTGGTTAAATAATTAGGTTACTCGCAATATAAAATGTAACCCTTATTTTTTATTAAAGGTAACATCATGACGCTGTCCTACAACATAGGTTTAACCGGTGGTTCGCTGGTCGCTTATCTACTTCACTCCCTGCTGGGTCCTCAATTGACCAACCCGTGCCCGGTGATACCGCCTTTTAAGCCCACGGATGCCCCCCAAATTAACATCACCACGACTGCATTTTCAACTTTGATGTCAATTTTATTCGTACCAACGTCTACTCTGGCGACAACCGAATTTTCTACAACAACAGTAAGCGCTACAACAGCTTTGATCAATGCGACTCTCTTTGATGCTGACACAAATTTTACCTGATACGCTGATGAATTTATATAAGAAAAATCTATTAAATATTGAAGGTGTAAGTGTACTTATATACTGAGATGGATATTGAAGTACATTTGCTATTAATAGTTTATTTAATTTGAATACTTCCAAAATACATAAAACTAGCACCAGTTGGGGTAGCAGGTATGCATAACATCAAGGGATTGCAAATTATGAAGCTGTCCACTCGACTAATTGCTAGGATAAATGGTGCAGATAGTCAAAGACCCGCATAACTGGGTGTACATTTTTAGAATAAAATGTAATTTTAGTATGATTTTAGTAATTTCATGAAGATTATCTTTGTTATCCATCTTATTACACGCGTTATCTTTTAGGTATTCAGACAATATGTATGGAATATTTAATGTGTTATGTCGGTGCACACCCTGAGTAAACTATAGTGATATTATTACCCGAAAGTCGTTACTTTCACAGAATTATTTTGGATATTTTAGTTCTGGGTTACTTAAATCGAGAAAGGCAAAGCTAAGCTGTTAAATTGATTTTTTGAGCAGTTTTTTTCTATGTCTAATATAAACTGTGAGCTAAATCTTCTGATTGTTTCCATTCATTCAAACTCAGTATACTGATACAATGATGATAAATTTAAATCAGTACTTAGACAATGATTATTTTAAGTAAAAATACATACAATATTTAACAAATGTGTTAGATCATTCTAATTGCACTTTGGAAAGAAAGCAATGAATTTCTTATATCTTTGAGAAAAGTTGTGCAAATGCACCTAATCATCTGATCATCTAATTTGACGTTTTATGTTATAATATTGATATCTGCTTGTTTTGTCGAGAATTTTGTGAAATGACCATTTGTGCACAGAATATCAATTTTAATAAATGTTTTATAATTTATTATAATTGATTAATTCTTCCACATTATTTATAATATGAGATTTGTGATATGGTAAATACCATTTCATTATTGAACAGTTTTAGATGCTTTCGGAAATTAATATCTAGGTGTTGATAATTCTCAACCTAACGATATTAATTAATTTAAAATGTGAAACAAATAATTAATTAATTTATAAACTACAATAATAAACAACAATCAATACTATTTCCCAACACACAAAATGCTTCTACATATAATCGAATGCAGTAATAAAACCAAAATAGTTCAAGACTGTTAAAAAAGTATGAATATGTAATTGAGAAAATATAATTTTCCTACGTCAAACTTGTATTTGTAATTTTGAAAATTTGTATCTTTATTGTCAAAAAAATACCATAATTTTATTGTGATAATATAAATTTGTTACTGTATTTTTTTAAAATTAAGGAAATCCATGTATTACGTTATATATTTGATAGATATATTGATAAATATATATTTCTGTAAAAATTTACCATTTAAAATTCTTATATATGTTATAAAAACAAAATAAATTGTTCGAAGTGCGAAATAAAGATGTTTTTTTATTTAAAATGGCCGCTTGTATTTGAAAACTTCCCGCATTTTTGTATGCGACATCGTAATAAATGACAGCAAAGCCGAAAAATGTATACTACTCAGTAAATGAATATATGTAACAGATATAAATAATAATCTAATGTTTCCACTTTTAAGAAATTATTAAGAGTCCATCCTAATAGGCTCTTTTAAAAATATCATTTAAGGATTAACATTTCGAGACGAGTGGATGTACATGTATCGTGAAAATGAGAAACACGTTGAATTTTCATACTTTAGTCCAAAGCAAGATCAATAAATTTATTAATAGTCAATACATAGTAATTAAAATTAAACTTACCGCAACAGGATTTCCTTTTTCCAGCTATCACATTTCACAATTTAAATACAAAATGTCATGATACACACTGAACCTGAACCTAACTTAAAATAGTCATTAAAAGAAACTTTCACATTAACAATTTCGATGTGTTGTCTATATAACTTGTACATAATGCAATTTAATCAAATTTAAAACACAAATCACAGTTGTATAAACATTAGATTAGATTGAACTTTATCTTTTACTTCCAACCTTCTTTCGACGTTGTTTACTTCTTACTAGATTCCCGCGTGCAGCAGTTACTGCAAGTGCAACACTAAACTAACATTAACTTGGTCATTTAAAATCAGGTGGCAAACGTAACAAAAAAAAATTTTATTCATTATTTAAATTTAATTATTATAATAAATATAACTAAATTAATTATTCAAATTTATTATTTTATTATTTATTTTATATTATTATTCATTATTATAAAAACTAATTATTACCACAAAATTTTCAATGCTGAAAACATATTATTTATAGGTATCAGATCTTTAATACAGACAAAAGATCAATAAATTATTTAATAAAGCTATTTGAAATTTAATATTAATAATTAATTCAATTAAATATAAACTTGATAATGGTATCAAGTATTTATAATCACACATAAACGTTTTCAAGAATAGAATCTAAGAACAATTCTGATGATTTGTTTACAAGTATTTTATCACAAGCCCGCAAGTGTTAATAATTTTAATCTTACACAAATGTATAATATTTATGAAACTTATTTTATAATACAATTTATGCACCTAACAATAAATTAAATCTGCTTCAAAAGTCTGAAAAAATAAAAATGAAATAATGAAATAATGCATAAATTAAAATAACATAATGATAATAAATAAATAATATATTGGTAAAAAAACATACAAAAACCTATTAAAAATATCAATAATATTATATAAATTATATTATTTTCAACTTAGCAACTATCAAAAAACTTCACCAAATGTAAATAGTTACACGATGTATGGTTTATGATTAAAAATTAAAATATATATGTACGTAGTCAATCATTCATAAAAACAATTACACTTCTATGATGTAACAGAGTTACTTTCTGTATAAAGATATTGATGTTGTAAAAGATGACGTTTTAATGATGGCATTGTAGGAAATATTTCTTGACATGTGTTACATTTCAGATCTACTTTTTTTACTATATCTGCATTTATGTTTTTCAAACTTGATAATGTTCCCTTTTCTGTAAGAATTTTAATTGCATCTGAAAAAGTAAACAAGATTTCAACATTTATAAGTAAAGTAATTTAGATGATATGATCTGCGAATACTTACCTTCAGAGAATATGAAAAAGTCTGTGTTATAACTATTCCAGTGAATTTTAGTTTTCAGGCTGTCAGATATAAAATCTTTCGATATGACATGTAAATGTATTGGCGTCATTGAAGGAAGTGCATGGTATCCTACTTTAAAATACTCTCTTGGTAAATTTGTCATTGTAATGATACGATTTGCTGTCTTATGTAAATTGCATAGCAATTCAATGTGTGATGAGTTCAACTAAAATAAATTAATATGATTATTATTAGATACAATAAGATAAATAGGTTCTTGCATACATCATATATAGAAGCGATCGGTGATAGTGGCAGAATTAAATAATGATGTTTAGCTTTAGGATATTTGTCTCTAATAACTTTCGCATTATCGTCCTCATACAAGATGTCTTGAGGTGTAATATAAAAGTTCAAATCATTACGCCATTTAACTTTGATAACAGAGTTAGTTGAATTCACCATTGTTTGCTTTGAGTCGAAAAATCGGAATAAATTGTGTAACTTTCTAAAATAAACTCCAGGACAATTTACTCTATTTAAATGTCAAACATTTTTAAAATTAACTATATTAATGCATTAGTAATATACCAATGCATCCCGGTAAATATCTATCGACTTTGTGACATATTGTACAATAGTTATTTACAATTTGCACGTGATACATTAATTTGTACTACTGTACAATAGATGTCGCCATGTTATATTTCATTGTCAACTATCAACATGATTGGTCTGACAAAGTAGCTGTCAAAATAAAAATGATCAGCTGTGTAAAAAGGCACACAAGATAATTATGTGACAATATCTAAATTAACGCGCAATAAATTTCAACCAAGTTAATAAATATTTTAATCCAAAAAATGGATAGTGCATCTTCACTTCTAGAACAAAATTCATGCTGTGAAAGTGATGAAGAGGTGATTCCCTTTTCACCATGTTTGAAAGAAGAAAATTGTGATGTTCACCAAAATGATACCCAATTTACTACACCTACAGTGTATAGCACAACACAATCTTTATCTTCATTATCAGAAGAAAGAATGCGGCGTAAACTTCAATTTTTTTTCATGAATCCGATTGAAAAGTGGTATGCCAAAAGAAGATTTCCTTATAAATTTGTAGTGCAAGTCATTAAAATTATACTAGTCACTATGCAGTTGTGTTTATTTGCTCATTCGCGATATAATCACGTTAATTACACATATGACAATCGAGTCACATTCTCACACTTGTTTCTACGAGGTTGGGAGACTTCAATGGAAGTAACAGCTTATCCTCCTGGTGAAGGTCCCCTCGCAGTATATGAAATAGATGATTTTTATGAAACTTTGGATTTTGCTATTAAAGGATATTCCAATTTATCAAATGCTATTGGTTCATATTCATATCCAACAGAAGACAATAGTGCAACAGCAACAAAATTGTGTTTGCATCGATACAGGGAGGGAACTATTTTTGGATTCAATGAAAGTTATGTATTTAATTCCGAAATAGATGTGACTTGCATAAATATTCATGACGATGATCTGGCTGCAAGTGAAGGATCATCAACCAGGAATTACTTGATGTCTCAGGATATAGATATAAATTTTTCTGCACTGGTAAGAGCGACTTTAAGCTTTTCTGTAAAAACAGTAAATTTTAAAGCAGCAGGTCCTATTACTGCTCCAGATTGTTATCAGTTTGATATTAACATAATTTTTGATAACCATGATCATGATGGGCAAATTTTGCTATCATTAGATGCAGAGCCTATACGTTTGACCTGTAAAGGTGATGTTGAGTATGTAATACATAATCAGATAGACTCAATTTTACGGAGTATTCTGAATATTTTTGTTATTATGATTTGCTCAATATCATTTATTCTTTGCAGCAGAGCAATATTCAGGGCACAGCAATTAAAATTTAAAACCATGGATTTTTTTAAAAACTTTTATAATAGAGAGCTGAGCATTGAAGGTCGCTTAGAATTTCTAAATATGTGGTATTTAATGATAATTGTTAATGATATTCTAATAATAGCTGGATCAGCTATCAAAGAACAAATTGAGCGAAAACAAACTGTTGGGGATCAGTGGAACATATGCAGCGTGTTGTTGGGAACAGGAAACTTGCTAGTTTGGTTTGGTGTGCTAAGATATCTTGGATTTTTCAAAACGTACAATGTTGTTATTTTAACTCTAAAAAAAGCAGCACCTAAAATCTTTAGATTCCTTTTATGTGCACTCTTAATATACGCCGGATTTACATTTGCAGGCTGGCTTATATTAGGACCTTACCATATAAAATTCAGGTCATTAGCTACAACTTCTGAATGCTTATTTTCTTTGGTGAACGGAGATGATATGTTTGCTACATTTTCTACAATGTCTAGTAAATCAAAATTGTTATGGTGGTACAGTCGTATATATCTATATGCATTTATAAGTCTTTACATTTATGTAATACTCAGTTTATTCATATCAGTAATCATGGATGCATATGACACCATCAAAAAATATTACAAAGACGGTTTTCCTAAAAATGATTTACAAACATTTATTGGTGTTGCTTCTGTTGATGATTTAACTTCTGGGATATATAGATCAGATAGTTCAGGGTCTTTAGGAGAACTCATGGAAAAAGTTTGTTGTTGTAATATGAGGTTTAAAAGACCATATAATATACTTGATAGGCCCAAAACGTCAACACCAGCTCTAGGTGGAATTTGTGTATAAATAGTTAAATTAAAAAAGAATCTGTTTAAGATTTATCTTTATTACTATTGTATATAAGATTCTTTCTGAAGGTCATAAATAACAAAGATTTATTATAGATCGTTGTTAAATAATAATTGTTTTATAAGGTTTATGACAACTTGCCAAATGCAATTATTTATTGCATTATTTTAATAGTATTTATGATAAAGATAAAACCATGTTGTAAAGTTGTTATATACGTATATGTATGATAGCGAAGAAAATTAAAATATTTACAATAAGTTTCACAAATATAATCATCAAGCAATTTGAATTATTTAGGTGTATAAATCAAAGGCTGATTATCAATAATAAATGCAGCAATTATAAATTAAAAATATTACAAGACAAATTTAGAACTTAATCAGTCCAACTTCATTCCTGGAATATAAATATTCGTGTTATGAGACCAACAAATAGTTGTATGATAGAGAGAGCTTTAACTAGTTGTAAAACTTTTATTATGTATTATATTTTTATTCAAATAAATTTTTAATTATATTGTATTTATCAAATGTTGTATTATATCATAAAATTGTGGAAAATATATAAAAATTATATTAAACAATAGTTACATTTATTATTTTTTATTATATTCATGTTAAGAAATCAAAAATATTTTTTTTATTAATATATTTCAAATATACATATATTAAACTTGGTGAATAGTACTATTCACAGTTATTTTATAAAAAACATTACTGATTTATTCAAAACTTAGTTACTATTTGAAACGTAACTATTTGGCGTAATAAAATAATTAAAGTCGTAAAGTTTATTATTGATGTTGTAAAGTATCGTAAACGTATATTAAAACTATTCTTCACAGCTATAAAAATATAAAATAGTTGTATCTATGTTAAATATGAAAAATACGGAAAATAAGTTAAATAAATTTTTATTCAGTAGCCTTTATTGGTTTCTACTCTCAATTATATCAAATATATAGCTAATAATTAATAAATAATTGAAAATGGGTATTCTTATCATTTATGTCAAGGTTCTCATATCTCAATGAAGAATATCAAATCAAACGAACAAAATCATCTCGAACATTTTATAAGTAAATAAAAAAAATATTATATATTTGTGTGGGTATTTTTTTCATCAATTCGAATACTTTCAATAAAAATGTAAACAAGAATATATTGTGTAATCTACAACTATTTCTTAAGTATATTATAACGCGGCATTGTTAGATAGAAAAATAATCATAATTATTTAATATAAATAAAATTCCTGATCGTGGGAATTTTTTCACGTCAGACAGATATCATTCTACTGCATTCTATTAATTTGAACTTTAATCTTATTGTAGCATAAAACTGAAGAATATTACATTAAATCAATTAATTAACGTCTAATAAATTCAAACAAATATTTCATATTTGTTTGAATAAATACAAATATGTTGTTTCCAGTCAGCAAATTATATAAATATATAAAACTAGTTTGTACTAGCAACTCATTACACTTCGGCCAGAAAAATGAATTTTTGAATGAATTGAAGAATAAATGATTTTTTTTGTTTTTAAAAATCTACCTCATGTACGTGGTAGCCCGTCGATAAAGAGCATGGGCTAGCACAAACTAGTTCCGGATTCGATCCCAATCTTAGTCAACTCGATATCAAGCAGTATGATATAATTCTACTTGAGGTTATAGATCTCAAATATAATCTCAAATAAAAATCGCGTGTATATTCATATAAAAGATTTGTTGACCAATGGTTTGCCCTTTCGAGATTAAGTACTAGGTAAGAACATTAATTATTTGAATTTTTCAAAAAAAAATTATCTATAATATTTTTCTAACGAAATTTCCATCACTAAATATAAAAATTTACATGTTTACAGCTAAATATTTTACAAATATTACGCCTGGATATAAACCGTTTGAAAAAGAACAGAATTGGTTGTGATAATTTTATATACTTATCTATAATGTAATGTAATGTAATATAAACGACTAATTGGTAATTAAACAGTTACAAATTATGAAAAAAAAAGATTCATATGATGTCATTTCTGTTTATAGTTTACAACACAACAGTTTCACGAACTTGTGATGAACTTTTTCTTTAGAAAAAGTAATTCTCCTTATAGAATGTGCCTTTTAGAAGGCAATCTAACAATTTGATTACAAATCATCTAATACCGATTAATATCATTTCAATTTTATGCAGAGGATGTGGTATTTTCACCTGGAAATATTTAGATCTATATATATATAGATAGATCTATATTTCCAAGAGAAAATAAATACATATTACTGGTGCTGAATATTAGGTTGTCCAAGGTAAGGGCCGCATCTGGAACCGACTAAATTAAAACTAATGATTTTAATTATCAAATAATAGAAAAATATGGAGTGCAAATTAGGGATCACTGATAATCGAAATAAAATATATGGCAAATAAGAGATCATTATAATAGCAATAGAATACCACATAAAAAGTTGACTGCATTGGGTGTGCGACATATGTTTTAGTGATGAATACAAATCGTAGGTCAAAATTGAGGGTTAAAGGGCAAATAACGAAAAAAAACGACAAATTTTCCGATTTAGAAATTTTTCTGCATGATAATTAAAATCTTATAATTTCTGTAGAAAACTTTTATAAAAAATAAACTCTCACCATCAACTATTTGAATCGTCCTGATATTTTTGTTTCTTTTTATAAATTACAAATATTAATTGAACATTTCAAATAATCGAAAAGATGTGGAATGCAATTTAGGGATCAGTAATAATCGAAATAAAATATATTGCAAATAAGAGATCAATATAAGAGCAACACAGATCCACAAAAAAGTTGACTGCATTGGAGGTGCAACTACATGTGTTTTACTGATGAACACAAATGCCAGGTCAAAATTGAGGGTTAAATGGCAAAAAAAGAGAAATTTAAAAAAAAGCGACAAATTTTCCAATTAAGAAAATTTTCTGCATGATAATTAAAGACTTAAATAATTTCTGTCGAGAATATTTATACAAGATAAACTCTCACCATCAACTATTTGGATAGTCCTGATACTTTGTTTTTTTTTATAAATTGAAAATATTGATTGAGCATTGATTAATTTATATGTATTTCAAAACTCCTACATAATTCAATGTTATCAGTTCAGATAACGTTGGAATTATGATATTTATTAATTGTATCACAATTTGTAATATAAATTTTTTGTAAATAAAAGATGCATTTTTGATAATATTAAAATATATCTGAAAAATAAGAAAGAATGCGATACATGGTAGTATAACTTCATAGAAAAATATAATACAAAAGCAAGTCTTGGATTCAAGCGCAAAGTACGCCAAATTTAAATTTTCTCTAGTTATATTAAATATGCGATCATTCACTATTAAAAATATATCTTATTACATAATTTAATCAAAAATAGACTGTTGAACCACTGGGTTGCCTGCAACAAACACAGCGTAATAGTTTGCAAAATATAAAGTTCTGAATTGCTATATGCAAATACAAGATCGTGGTACAAGAAAATAAACTGACTGGATTAAGTAAAGTAATTAAAAATCTAAACTTAGAAGTACTTATTTTCAAATAAAAATACCAAAACTAATAACGATTACAAATTAGATTTCTACGCTACGTTCTTATATCATCGCGATGTTGTGTCAAGAAGAATATTTTTTAGTAACCTTCAATTTTATTTATCACATTCCGAATAGTATCTCCATAAATAAACGTAATTTTGGAATAAATTTTACGCATGAAATTACTAATTAATCTATATTCGTCCGCACAAAGAACAATTGAGAAATAAAGAAATTGTTAAATAAGGAGAAATTATGTCAATTTGTAGTGGTCAGTGACTTTGTAAACTCAAATATAAAATAATTGTAGAACTTGTATATATAACAAACCCTTACCGACCGCAATTTGATTCGACCAGTATTTTTTTATCAATTAAATATATTGATTGAATGTGATTAGTTGATATATATTTCAAAACTCGGACGTAATTCAATGTTATCGGTCCAGATAACGTTGGAATTACGATTTTTATATTTGCTTCATAACTTGCAATTATTTTTTATTTGTAAATAAATAAAGTATTGTTCAATTTATATAAATATTTTTGAACAGTAAAAAAATAATGTAGTGCGTGGTAGGATTTCAAAAAATAAAATACAGAAGCTTATCTTGGAGTCAGGCAAATGTGGAAAACTACGGTAAGATTTTCTTTCGTCAAAAGCAATATTTGTATGTTATACTAGTTGCTTTCCCGTTGTTTAGTAGTTAGAGCTATGAATTTTGAATCAGAGGTTTCAGTTTGATACCCATCTCGGACAGCCTGATGTCAAGCAGCAGTAGTTTCTGTTTTCACTCGAAAATATATTATAGCAATATGTTTCCAAGTAATAATAGCTCATACTCGAAATTGCTGCATAAATAAAAATTTGTCTAAAATTTGTATTACAGAAATTGGTATAATAAATTCAGCACATAGAGATAGGACAACCGTCTGAGTTGCTGCCTATAAACATCATTAAAAAGTCAATAAAAAAAGTTTATTAGTAAATTTTAGGATTTGTATCATAAAACCTGTATGCAAGGTTTATTAACTAGAATTATTTTTCAATAACTTTGTCAAAAGTTTATAGTTTCTCAAAAATCTAATTTTTTCAAAGAAATTTTTTTTCAAAAATGTCAATATAATTGCAATCTTATAACATCACTGCTTGATATCAAGCTAGTCAAGGTGGGCAATAAACTTCTTATCAGTATTATGGTATTGTGTTTCAAAACAAATTACTAGTAGTTACAAAATTTTACTTATTGTCAAAATCATTGGAATGTTTTTTGAGCCTATATGCTTATATTTCTAAAGTATACCAACATAGGTCACTATAAGCCACGAAATTCAATTTTAAAAGTGCCTATATTTTATTTTAAATCGCAATTTTAAAAAACATGTGACAATTTATATTTCTACGTTAATAATGTCAGATAAAGTGTTTTATATAAATTTTTAAAATACAAATATTTCAAAAATTACTTAATCTGAATCAAGATACATAGTATAAATTCATGCTAGCTCTAAATATATCTTAAATTATCGCACAAAGTGTGTTCGAAAAAGTGATGATACCTTGTTTTATACCGAAT